TAGGAGATGAGGGTGGCGTATCCAATATTCGCCGGGTACGGTTTCGTTTGTGTAACGACTTCCGGCTGCTTTTTTTCGCTTGCTTTTCGTCAGTGCTATGGGCACCACTAGATAGAAATGCAGGAAGTTCTGTTATTGTGGAATTGCCCGATTGAACAGGGGACAATTGTAGAAAGGACGCACCTTCCGGTTCCATTAGCACTGCAAAATAATAACAAATGACACTGTAGATACGGTTATAGTTGACTAACTCAGCAAGATCAATAACAGATCCAAGGAGCATTGTCTATTTTTATTGTATCGCATAATGTATTCAAATAACTTCATTTGTTAATAAGCTGTTAAAATTTAATAATAACGAACAGGTTAAAACTGTGATTCGAGTGAGTGGGACGCAATTAAATTGCCGCAATTGGCTATTAATACGGACTGTCAAAAAGCATAAGTTGTATATCACTCCTTCTTACCTGAGTGTTTCAAACGACTACTTTCGTCGTCACTGACGATTCGATTTCTTTTTTTTCGTTTAAGTGTAGCTACTTCTGCATCGTCCCTAAGACGCAACTTCATCTTGCCGTAATGATGTGGCAATACTCCCATTGTGCGCGCGCAACCGCTGCGGACTTCGAAATATTCGTTTTCGTTACCTGGATTCGAGACGCATCCACTTGCAGCGGTAGGTTCCTCTAATGAGTCCACGGATTCAATATCAACAAGATCCTCACGTGTTTGCGATGAGTCATCGCCAAGCGAAGCAAACTGCGAGACCATAAGATAGCATATTCAATAATTTCTTTTGAATAATCGACAAAAGCAATCTTCATACCCCGCAACGCACTGGTGGTGACACGAAAGAACTTAAAATTCAAGAAACAGTCGGGAGCAACGTTGGAAATTACTTGAGACGAGCGCCATTTTCAAGTTTAATGAGATTAGTCGGAACATTAAATTACTAGATTAGTCTCGATTCCACGTAAGTTAGTGTTGCTTACCCCGTGCATGAAGCAAAACTAAAAACAAACATAGGTGGCCCTTTTGAAACACTGTTATCTTAACGGACCGAAGTGCGCGTGAAATTGATCTTTGCCCATACCATGATCATGCCGCTCGCCAAATACATTGGTACTTGGTTTTCCTTTGTTTAAAGCAAACGTGGTACCCTGCTTGATTTCCCGGAAAGAACTCGCTTGGTTTGCCACCTCAACATCAATGAACCTCAGTGATCTTTACTATGCCATCAATGACCCTCAGTGATCTTTACTATGCCGTTAATGACCCTCAGTGATCTTTATTTTTTTACATGGTGACGAAATGAGCAGTGCAGCCATATCATTTTTGTCCTGTACAAGAGGAGCAACGATATTGGAACTGTTTGAACTTTCAGAGGTATTTTCATACACCTTCTTTATTCTAATTTCAATTGAAGTTGCCTTTTCGGGGTAGGACCTCAACGCTACTATTTGTTACATATCATTTGTTGATCCTGGAGAGGGGCAAGGTCCACCCATAAGACGTGGACGGATCCATTGCGCGGTTTGATTATGCTGCTTGTTCGACGGTATGCGCCGAAAGTTCGCTATCGACGTCGTGTGGCGCAAATCGTGAGTGGCCTGCTGTTTGGCGGACGGCCTTGGCGACAGCCAGACCGCGTAGCTTATCTCACGGAATATGTGGCCTGATGTATAGACAGGTGCACATGTGAACGAAGAAGATCCCTGCCGCATGCAGTGCATCTTTGACAATGCATAGCATTCCGTCCTATAGGAGACGTGGTTGTTTCATCTGGGCGATTCCAGCTGAAACCTCGGTCATAAGCGCACAAAGCTTGTTTGAAAACATGGTACAATTATTGACTTTTATAAATCAAATCTTTTAAATAAATATATTTAAGGAAACTAGCTAGCACCTGACGGCAAGAAACGTGTTTGAAAGAAATAAAAAATTCCCCAGTGGTGCGTTTTACACCAAACCCCTTCTACTCGATCGCGTCGACGCATCTGATAAGCTAACGGATAGAACTTTAAGGTACCTCAGCGAAAATCTGAACTGTCTTTAGTATACCGGATCGCATGGATCGGGTATTTTTATCATGTCATATTTTTTGTTACAATACATGCGTCACAATGTATATTATAATAATTATAAGATAAACAGATGCTAACTAGTCTAGAGTGGTACTTTATTCAAATATTAAATATAACCGCCTTGTCTTTGCTTGCATTTACCTACACATGGTCATAATGATCGAAATATAGAAACATCCTAGGAACTTTTCTAGTATACATTTATGGTACTTAACCATTAAGTCGACCCGTTTGAAGATTGATATAACCTTCAAACGTAGGATTTTATCTGATTCTTCACGTTGTTCGAAATAAACATTCATTGGATCCCTGCAGCAATAAATCATTGTAAAGCTAACGAGGCAAATGCTGCTATTTTAATGTTATCATAGTCCACGACAATGGAACACTTTCACACCTTAAATAACTGAAATTTCCACCCGGTTATAAAAGTTTGGTTATGCCTATTGCCCTTTAATAACAGACTGTGTAGCATAGAAAAGCTCTCAATCTCCAACACCTACGGTGTTAATAATTTATGCACTTTTATGGCTGAGCATCGCTGTTCTATTTACGTTTTTAAATGACCATTTAAGTAATGCTAAAGCGAGCCCATAAGAAGCGGAATTCACTGTCTATAATAACACGGCTTTTTACCTCAAATAACATTAGCTGACTGGTCGCGAATAGGCTAAACGTCAGAATAGGAATGTTAGGACAAGGCTGTTGCCCTTGCCCGCAAAATTCGACTGTCAGCTATGGTCGAATATCTGCTTTTGTGGCGAAAACGTTCTAAAGGTACTAGGTCTAATTTGATTTGATTTCTTTATGGATAATTCCTAATTACTAGACTTGAATAATAGGTTCTATGTATAGACGGACCTGAAGTGGTGAGTCAATTTTGCAGATATGTTTACGAACGTGACAAGAAACATTTTGACCTTCAAAAGCATATAACCCATTTTTGATCCTGATTTATGGACCGCCTGTAAAGGTCCCAACGTACTATTTCTATTTATACTTTTCTACAACTAATGCGCTGCGTGCCACCACGTCAAAGGCAAAACGTACATTTTAAATGTAACGGTGTTAAAGGAGCTCGCTTATCACAGAAAGCGGGAACTTTCAAATATGTAAACTAATATGTAACATGCAATAGAACTGCAGATTTTCCTTTATAGTATATATACCTATATACTTTTCCTTTATATATATATATATATGCAGCGCTTGATGATTGTACAAGAACGTACGCGTCTAAACGGGATAATGCGCTATTTGAAAGACCCTTGGATCTTTTAGGTCTCGGCCTTTTTTCGATCTTTGGGAAGATTTCCGAGCCATTATACGTAGAGTAGTAGTTTACGGTCCATTAATTTGCACCAACTGAGCCAGCCGGTGCAGCGTCTTCCGGAAAGGCCGGGCTTGCCAATTGCTATCCTTCACTAGTTAGTCCGTAGGCGGTATCATATCACTGCAGCATAATGGCGGCGAGGGCTCGTGCCCAACCCATCAAACCGAAGTGGGTATCAGCCGTAAGAACAGAACACCCGCTCCTGAACGGCCACTGTTTTTCTTTAACAGCAACAGCACGGGGATCACTGCTTGCGCCTGATCTCTTTTGCACTGGATAAACGGTGAGCCATCAGAAAATTGCAGGGCCACTTATTGCACGTTCCGGATGTTCGTCCACGGAAGCGTTTCGAATAGAGTTTTTTTAGTTAAGTGAGCAGGTTATGGCTATACAGTCTTGCGACGGCGTCCGCCATTGATTAGTGTAGAAGCGGCCCCATCGCTGTCTTTGACTAGTCGACCCCTACCAAATCCGACTCTAGTGTCCGTACGTTCACGTGTGTGTTGCTATTTGGCCACGGAACAGGCGTGTTAGCTTTCGCTATATCAGTTTCGGCTGCAACAATTCTAGTAAAAGCGTCGAATGATGCGGCAGATGTGTAGCTCAAAACAAAGCTTGTAGAATCTAGCAAAGATATCCGTATTTCTAGTACAAATATGAACCAGGTTATGATTTTTTTTACCTGCATTTTCGGTGTATTTTTTTTTGAGGCAAATATTTTCTTCGAACGTTTGTTCTTAGCTGATCAGTAAATGCAGAAAATCACAACTGCATTCAGGTCCCGCCTCATATATGATCAAACTAGATTAGCTTAAACCAAATCCCAGTTCGCACCTATTCGCTAGAAATTTTCGGAACAACGTACTCGCGTCATGGCTAAATCTAAGTAATCACTGACAATTTAGGTGATATCCTTAATTTGTATTTGTGTTCGCCTTTCGTGAATGATCTACGGAGCTGTTGGGCCCTCTCTCTCTGTGTGTGAGTCAGCTGGAGCCGTTCAGTAACGAAAGGAAAATCGAAGTTCGAAACGTTTGGCTTATCATAGAACCTTAATCTGCGCAAAGCAGAAAACGTTACCGTTGCGGTATCTAACCTAGAGCACATGTTTGGCGCGCTCATTCGGGGGCTAACGTATCTCAGGTGAGTGAGCTGAATAAGGGACTACCCTCAAACTAACACGTAAACTGACTTATTGCAGTTTTTCCACATCTTCAGCAACAGCTAAAAAAAAAGTGTTTTTTTCGATGTCGATTTTCGGCAAATGACCTGTTGGCTTCTGTCTGTTTACTTTCTGCTATGCCTCATCTGACGAAGGCGCAGTCGCCTCTAAGCTAGATAGCATCCTTAACCTATCGAGACAGGCCAACAATAATCATGGGATAATTAGCTTTCCTGGAAAGCTTCACAGTAATATTCACAGAACAGAACTATTTTCCGCTATGATTTAAACGCCATCATTTTTGTTATCTGCAGAAAAGACTAGGCGACCGTTCAGTTCATTTGAGGCTGGGTACATCTGAAGTGCCGTATGGGAAAAGCGCAACAAAGCTAAGAAGAATACACGATAGATGATAAGACATGTACAGTTTACAGACAAAATAGAACGAAACGATAGCTAACGGACCTCTTACGGATCCTTAATGCTTCGCTAAATTCCTCGAGCTTTTTCTCATAACTTTGGCAGCGCCCCTAAGCAATTATAACGATGTTCAGACATCGGTGTTTTCTGCTTATCATAACCATCGTGTGCTCCGTCTGAGATAATTAATCATAAAAAGTAGACAATGTTGATTGCTTTGTACGTGAAGGCCACGTCTGATTGCATGAAATCCCTCCAACGCATATATTCATGCAGTCGATGCTCATATCTGTATTTAATTTTCGAAAAAAAGGAGCAATTATGTTAATATAACAATAGCACGAATGTGGTTTACATGAAATTTTCCTGTTTTCTGGTGGGATATCCGCTACCCTCCATGACTATCTGTTTGCCGCTTCTGCTGGTGTTTTCTGTTTGCCTTCCCTGGACTGGTGCCCACAATAACGAAATTGGCCAGCCTACAAATGGGCGTGTGACGGATCCAAAATCACGATACAGCTGACCTCAACTTTTTGTTGTCTATTTATGCATCGATTGGTACGCACGCCAAGCGACGAAGTTCCCACGCATCAGGCACGAATTAATTCTCTCCAAAACGATTAGTAACGATGAGAGGGTAAACCACTCCTAGAAGATGATGTATTTCTACGCAAAAACACTCAATAGATTATATTCAGCTCATTTACGTGTAGTATAATTGTTATGTGTCTTACCGATAAAGTCAACTTTGTGAGACGCACCGATTTGAATAGTTCTTGCTCATGCAAAATGGCCTGATTTAGAGGTGCTTCTGGAACCGTTCTGCGAGCGAAAAACGTTCAATCGTAAAACACCGAAACCGCTGCCCAGCCGAGTTAGCATGTAATTTATTGAACGTTGAATTGGATTAGAGAAAAAACCACGACTTAACCGTCAAGTGGTTATACCCTGTCAATTATTTTGAAATAGCAGCTTTAGATCCACCCTTGGCTTAGACCTTGGGGTCACTGGTTCCGCCGACATTTGTGACTAAATGAACAAATAGACACGGCTTTAACGGTAACTAGTCTTTCCTTGTGATTATATAACGTGTATGAATTGGGTGAGCTGCCCAAACGAGCCAACGTGTTGTATAGAATGGTCGAAACTTCTATCTGATCTTCAGGAGACGATATTCGCAGTGGCAGTCATTTTGCTGAAAAAATGGAGGGTGCTAAGTAAAAAAAACAGCTAGAAGTTACCGCTTGAGACGCGAATAGGTGATCCAATAATATATACCTCACGACATAGCCGGATTCATATATTTAATAGGATACCTACACTTTAGTTTATGGGCATGTAATACCTAGGTCAAATATTGATGCGGCTCCCTTAGAATGTTTGCGCTTAGGAACTAATCACGTTCAAGCATGTTGAGGCTCGTGTCACCACCGGGACCATCTGTACTAAACGCTAGTGACGACAACAAAGGAGCCTACCGATCGGCAAACAAAACGAAAATTAGATTAGGATTTATGTGGTAAATGTTGATAAACTATTCTACGCTCAGTCATCGGGAACGGCTGAAAGCAGTTGAACAGCGTCAGTGTATTACTATCAGTGTAAAACGCGAAACGTCCTTGACCGGTGCGAAGGAAAATGAAAGATTATGTTACACCTTAACTTGGTCCTGATCATTCTCGCTGAACCGTGATTAGTAACTTGACCATGGTGAACATTTTCGCCCAGTAATGTGCTAGATATCTTCTTAACAATCTCAATACATTCGAAGAACAGCAAACGTAATAATAGCAGCGTACTAATTCATGTAATACAAAAAACTACGCTCGTTGTTTTCAAGTTATTATCTTACCGTGTATCAGTAAACTGTGATAGAAAAATTTAAACTTTCGTCAATGGTACTAATCGATCGAAGGTACGATTCCGGATAGCATAATGCTGTACCTTTTTTTTTTTTCCGTATGATTTTGCAGAATCCCGATTGCGGCGGATATTATGTGACTCAGAGGCAGTGGACGCCCACCAAGGTATCAAGTTGAAACGATGCTTTTAACTTTACCCTGTAGCAGCTCGCAAGATTTGAACCAGAAAAGTTCTAAACGAATTGAATTTTCTGCAGTGATAAGGTTCAAATGGCGAGACGCACCCATCCTAGCTCCCCAAGCTCGACATGAAATAAATTGAAAATTTGCGTCAAATGTTCCCTATGGATGCCCTCGTATGTCACTTGACGATTGTCGAGTTGTACATGGTCGAATAGGTAGTTAATGCTAAGTGAGAATGCGTCATCAGAAAACCAACCGAATGTTGACTGGACAAAAACTTACCAGAAAAAAAAACTAACAAAAATTTAAATAGTCGGTTTTCTTATTGGTTGTTTAAGCTTTAACCTTTCTTGTTTTAACTTCGCTTTTATGTTCCACAGCCACGTGCACCAATTTCGGCAGATTTCCAAACGCCGGGACCTGGCTCGTTTAATATTCCTTCTACCATTGGAAAAAACGCCAATCAAGTAGTGAAAGGAAAAAGCCCCTCGTACACCTTCGGAGCGAAGTAAGTGCTTCTTTTATTTGTCCCTTTGTATTTAGACCCGGAGCAATATCGTAATTTTCGAGAATTAAGGGGGAGCAGTGGATGGATGTAGGCATATGTTTTAAAAACTCGTTAAGCTTACAGGTAAAGTAGAGGTAGGGGTTAGGTTGAAGAATAGTTATTCACGTATAAAGACGAAGTGTATAGATACATAGAAATGAAATTTATTGGAAAGCACTCATTCGTATACACTGATGGCATCACAACGTCAAACATTCACACTGGCGTAACTGATCAGAGATGGCCTCTAGGTAACGTTGTGCACAGCATGAAGTATTTAAATGCTGACAGGCGTCGTCGGGCTACATTTTCATACTGGGCATTATCCGTTCATCTACTATTTATTTTTGGCATTAGAAGAGAGCTAATTCTTTCTAAAACAAAGTAGCAAATCTACCGTCAATTTAAAAAGTGCATTGTTTTTGCAATTTTAGCGAAAGTCGGCTATTATGCAATGCCTTCACGCGGGACACGCCCCCCCCCCCCCTACCCCACCAACAGTCCGTCATTTCTAAAAGAAGACCCACAAACTTATTATGGCGGAAAACAGAGTGTGGTTTTCGCAATTTTGTATATATATATATATATATATATATTAATTTCCTACTGGGTCGTTCAAACAAACTTCAACGCGTCTTTGCAATATTTATACAATTTTGTTTGAATTTTTTCGGTCGTTTCAAGCACTCATATTTTGGGCTATTCGACCTGTTTCAAGCCTAAGACTTTTGTAAAGTACTTGAACGACACGAATATATATCTGCCAATCAAGCTTGAAATACACTTACTATTTAGTGAGCTATCAGCGGAGTAAAGAAAGAATATTTTGAAAATTTAGCTGCAGATCCTGAATCTAGGCTGTAGTCGCAATCAATGGCAGTTATATTAAGTATATGTAAAGTAAGTACGATATTGTTAGCAGGTTGCTTCTGCTCAAGTACAACCTTAGACACTGAGGGGAAAATGTCACTCTAGATGCTTTAGGTGTAATGGGTATATGCAAAAACTTCTCTGAAAACTGCAAAGTTAAATCCCATTATCCTATATAATCCTATTAAACTCCAACGTACATAACAGTTTATTGAACGAGTAATATCTGTATAAATTGAAGTGATTTTTGTCCTAAACAAAAAATGCACGCATACTTAATTATGTTCGTTATTATAATCTCATTTGTTACGGCAAAATAGTATAGTAAATTTCTAGCCTAAGGTATTATATAATTTTTAGCCGTGGAGTTCTTAAGACGATGAGATGCTCATGCTCGACGATCCCTCCGCAAATCGTACTAACGGAATATATATCATCTATGACATGGCGGCAGTTTAATGTCAAAATTTAAATTGACTTAATATATTACTGTCTCATATAACGCTCCAAATGAATGGCGCCTAAATTCAAAAAAGTCATTCGACCGCGTTCATTTGTTAGTGATGCCACCATGCCCACCGACTAGTTAGAGCGTAAACCTCTGCGTGTTTTTCAAACGAGATTGTCAATAACCTCTGTTGGGGACCATCGTTGTGAAATAATCACCACCAGGGGGCGCGACCTAGCGTTTTCCTACTAAGCCTAGCTTACATATCATCTAAATATAATGGTTCGATATTTCAGTAGCACGACTTCGCTTTCGATACGCACGCACATATTTATTATACATGCGCGACACTACAGCAAGGACAAAATTTAGTGTGCATATGCAATTTGGCTAACTCTAGTTTCATATGCTTAAATTTCATCGAATTTAAATCTTGGACATTACACATAGACGCATGATTTACGTGATTTCTATCTACGCAATACAGGATCGAAGAGAAAACGAGCAAGGTGGTTCCAGGACCCGGAAGTTACAACATCGCAGGTCTCTCAGAGAAGGGCAAGGATACCTGTGCGGCACCAACTATAGCAGCCAAACTCAAGGTACTTAGTAATTTTGTGCGCAAATAAACAAGGAATAAAAGCAGGCGAACTAAATATTGTATCAAGTTCAGTCAGTAAACGCTAGCCTTGAGGTATCAAGACTAAACTAGCACGTGAGTTACACTGGCCTTTTCTACCGCTCGTCGTCCGCTTGAATGCGTTTTTGGCCTGGAAACAAAAACGGCACAGATTGGTTTACCATTTATAATCACCGTCGAACAATTTTTTTGTAATAAGCCGATCTTTGTGATATTGGCCGACTCCTCTATCATATATAAATAGGAACCAGAGCCGTTCAAGACGCCAGCACCTGGTGCCTACAACCCTGATAAGTCCGACTGCGTGATTCATATCGCGGCCCCTCGCTACACGTTCGGTTCAAAGCTTAAAGAGCACGCCCCTGACGATATACCCGGTAGGTTTCAGAGAGCTTTTTCCGTAGCTAGTAAGCACAAGAAACAAATTACAGGGATACATTAGAATGATTCACTCGTATGGACTTTATGCGCACGACAGGTTGTGTTTGCGAGAACAGACTTCATGTTCTAGGAATTAAGAAGAACATAAGGTAAGCTATCACTGCCACTTTCAAAGTATTTAAACATAACTGAATCATGATTCGTACGTCCCATCTAAGGTGTGTTTTCGGCTTGTTTGCTTCGCAAGACTAAGACAAACTGTCGGCTTCCAATTTAAATCAAGGACGTTTGAGGGTTTAAAACGAAAAAGAGGAAAGAAAGACGAATTTTATACGAAAATATCTACAGGAGAATCGCAAATAGAAATGCCGCCAAGTTGCCCGCTCAACCCCGGACGCCGCAGCTTAACGCGAGAACGAAGCCGCGAACGAAGTACGAAGAGTCCTCAAAGCGCTCGCGTCATCTACGATTGTGATCCTGGTACTACTAAACAAAAAAATACTAAGTAAAGCTAAAACACCTTCACTGACTCTAGCACTTTTCTCATCTGATACGGCCGCTTTTTGCTGCTGACTTTTTTCAAGATGATTTAAATTGGGCATGGGAGTCTTTCTATGATTTTGATTGAAGCATTTTCCTACTGACCCTTTTAAATCTACAGTTTTCAAAGCGGAGCAGTTTATTGGCTTACTGAAGAAGAGTTCGATTTAATGTAGTGGCATTAGTTCAGGGGACCATTGTTCGGTAACAGAACCTCCGAGCATACATGTGGTTACACCTCCTATACTTTACCTGTCTTGCGGTATCTTCGCCTCACAAAGAACATAACTGATTACAATATTACTTTTAAAATTAGCCTAAATACCTGGTTATTCCACTATACGAACTGATAAGCAAACCTGTCAAACAATGTTAGCGTTGCTTGGCGGCGTCAGCTGCTTATATCTTATTTTTTTCAGCTTAGACGTTCAATTAGCGTTAGTGACAAGACCATTGTCCTGTACAAGCTGCGATCAATTCTTTTGTATAATAAGTTGTTTTTTTTTTTTTTGTTTTATGTTATCTCCTCATCACGTCACGTCTTTGTAGCGTTGTCCCTTGGTTTTCACTTTATTGCATTGGCAGCCTTTTTCTAGGCCTTTGTGGTACTACTCGTTTATTTAAATCGTCTTCGGCGTTGGCTTGTACGCCATCGAACTACAGCTAAGCGATGCTGCCAATAGCTGTCGGTGGATACTATGTATATATATATATAACTATATGTACCTATCGTCAGTCTGTTATTCAAAGACGATGGCACATTGTAGACGTTTGCTTTTCCTATTTAGTGTTGAAATGACGATATTTGCAAAGTTGCGCCGCTGGCCGGCACTTCCGGTCGCCGCTTGGACCGAGCTTGGACGGCCTTCGGCGCGAGGCCGAAACAAGCTCGGCCTTTTTGTCCTGTGAGGATTGCCGCTGCTGTAGTATTACGATAGTATTACGATTGCTCCTACGGCAGCCGTCAGCGTAGAGCAAGTAGCAGCGGCAGATCACGACATGTCTAATTTGAAGCTACGGAAAACACCAGTCTACCTGGTTGGATTGACCGACGCTCAGCAACTGCTGTACTGTATCGTCGCATACAATGCGTCATTGAAGGTCTCCCTTTTGCCTTTGACGTCCGGGGCCTTTTGTCTCGGCGTTTCAGCTGACACCGTTGTTACCATCAACGGGCAAAGCCACACGCATATACACAACCATTCTTTGCGCGCACCTGCACCCTTCTTTTTTGTTTTGTTTATCGTCATTAGCACCAATGCTATCACCACAGAGAGCAGTAGTTGCTCATACGAAGAACGCCAAACGGTGTAGAGCTTTTACTTCTGAACAGCTCAGCGTCACCAAGTACACCAACGTGAATCATGCACCCAGGTAAATGGCACGGCAAACATTTCCCTATCTTCATCATTCGCTTGTTCTTCTTAGTGTCTTCAGCTTCTATAACGTTCGCGTAAATGCATGCCGAATGATAGACTAATGATCGTTATTTTGCCAATTATACATAGTATTATTTAGCGCGCCGCTTTTTCATCTTATCATCGCATTAGCGTTACGTTGATTATCATCACAAGTTCGTGTTGAAGCCAGCCAGCCAGCCAGCCAGCCATACTGCAAACTCGTATTTCTGATACTTCTGTTTTCTGTAGAGGGTTATGTGACTTATCTGTATATCTATTCGTGTGTTATTACTAATGGTCATGCGACTTCGCCGGTGTTTCGAGCCTGATTTATGTGTAATGTGATTTATGTGGGCAATGCAGCTACTTCATTCGCCATTTAAGCTAGCTGAAATTGTTGGTTCTTCTTATCATCACTGTTTTCTCTAGTGTCCTTAGCAATCACGTAATACCGAACGACGAAATTCTAAAGGAATAATCGTCTTTCGATCAATCAATCAATCAATCGTTCCTTCAACACACGGTCGCATAGGCTAAGGCCGTTTTTGGCACTGACTCTCAATTGCAACTGGGATCTAGGCTTCAGAAGTGACGAGTGCGTTATTGTGAAATCGCTCGCCCCTTGTTGCAGCGAACCGCGTATGATAGCTTACTGTATAAAATGGTCGACCGACGGTGTGGAAGTTCAAACTTGAGTAAAAGTATATGTAGGGCGTTCGTAGTGAGACTAGTGTCCGGAAGCTTATTAAGATCGTATTAACTAGTTCTGACCGTACGTGCATAGTATGTGTAAAAATATATTATACGTACTAATAGGGTTCTCTGATTATGCGATCTTTCCTCCTGTATGTGTTAACACTGTTTATTCACGACTCCGGAAGCTATGCACATCTTTTATATTAATATGGTATTTTAGTTTCGAATGGATTTGAATGAAAAAATCTAACATATTGAGCTTGGGTACGTCTAGCTGTATATTCGCCTAATATATACGCTATGCATGCAGTCTCTACCTTACAAATAAAAGTCAACTAACGTCAGTGGACTTGTCTGGGTTTTAAGGCTGGGTTTATGGCTTATAGCAGGAATGTCAATGCACTAACATAACGTGTCGCGCCCTAAACACGCATAATAAACGCGTAACATATGCTTTTCACGTCATCACAAAAAAACGAGGCATTTTGGCGATTGGGCTTTTTGTCAGAGTCGTAATAGCTTTAGTGGGTCAAGCTAACGCGTATTCTTCGCAGGGCCAGGATACTACGAGCCAGAACGTGCGGACGCAGCTCGCTACTCGAGAACGCCAGGTTTCTCCATCCGAGGTCGGTCGCATAGCCCCCCTCCGAACGATTACCCAAGTAAGTGTCCACGTACCCAGCAACCTGTGCTTTTAGGAAGCCTGCACCAACCAACAAAAATTTTATGCTACACTAGTCCAAATGTTTTGCAGGTAACATGCAACCTTAGAAATTATGCATTGCTAAAGTCAATCATTGGTTGCATTCATAAAGTTATGTTCTATAATATATTAACGATTTGCAGGCCCAGCTGAGTACACACCAGAAAGAGCAGACCCACTGCGATACGCGAGTCCTCCTAGATATTCATTTGGATCAAGGCTTCGAGACCACGAGGGAAGCGAACCAGATCCAGGTGAGGCCTGAAAACCACTTTTCTAATGAAGTCATATGTCTCTATTTATAAATATATGCGCATTCTTATAACAGGTTCGTTTTCTGAGCATTTTTATGAACCTGTTTGCGAGCATTTACTATATTTGTTTCGAAGCGCAACCTTGTGCTCGATTCCCACCTTTCACAGACGTTTTCAATTCTGTTTAGGTCCCCATCACTTTAATGGCCTAATCAGGCACCAAGCAGAAGCTACCTTCTTAGTTTATAATTATCTTGAACGATATACGACATTATATCTAATAATAAAGTAACATCAAAGGATGAAAAAAATGTTTCAGCACCTAATTCGTACCGAATCGAGCGTGCAGACAATCTCCGTTTTCGAAGTCCACCTCGTTGGTCATTTCGTTGCTCGCGACCCATTCAACAATTGCCAGATACGCCTCCACCAAATTCGTATAGGGTAGAGAGTTGCGACAAACAGAGATACCCAAGTCCGCCGAAGCACTCGATTAGGGGTAATCGAAATTCCTTTCCGGTGAGTAAAACTAGCCCGGGTAGTACTCACTGCCTTCGTTAAGCACTGCTTCACGCGATCAGCTCTCGGCATATAACGAACTATGCTTATGCCCAGGCTCTCGTGTCACCGCTGCGTCGGACGCATAGCAATGAATTATATTCGTACGAGTATTATGGTTCTTCTAACAGATAAAACAGATGTTCGAATGCTACATTTCAATGTTCGTTTACTGTCTGGGTTGCTATAGAATACGGACTCCGTTGAACCTTTACGGGTTTGGTGCATCGAGAACAAGTAGATGTTAGCCTGGTGGTGACAGACAGATGATCACTATAGCGTATTTGTCGAGTAGCATTGTTTAAGTAGCGCGTTCAATAGCAGCGCCTAAAGATCTATCTAAAATAAGATACACTGATTTCTGCTCAACTGTTGTGTGTCTTGGGCATGTGTGCATACTGAAAAAGTGTTCGTATTTTCCGCCAGTCATTCGATAAGGAGCGAGAAGACGTCCCTGGTCCGGGGCATTACGAGCCAAGTTTTTACGGGACGATTCCTAGGGCAGTGAACCTCGCCAACAAGCTGGAACCACCAAACATCGGCCGTCAACAACAACACCTTCGGTAGTGCATGTCTATAATAAAAGAGATTATAGAAGCTGCATTCATTTCGACTATTTTTGTTTGACGAATATCTGTAAATATCTAATCAAAGGCTTGTATGTATGCTCCAACACGGCAGGTGAGGCTTTCTATGAAGGATCTTTCAACATATTTGCAAATTTTTTTTAGCAGAATTAGCCTTAATATCACCCGCTCTTTATCATTGTATTTTGAATTACCACTTTCGATGTCTCTTAGCTAGCGAGGTCAACAAATAATTCATACACGAGCTTATAACTTTGGCGGTTAATGATGGTCACTCTCATTTTTCATCTCTATATCAAGGTACCTGAAACGGGCCGATGCAGATTTACCACCTAAATTCAAGTTCATAGACGACCCCATTGACGAACCGGTTAAAAGAAAACGAAGCGGTAAGACATCGATCTTCATTCTCTACCAATGATAAATCGTATTTACTCATAGAATCACAGCTTTTGCTCAGTAATTCGGCGGTGCAACTGCTACAACTGAAACCAATGCTTACGGTAGGGCTTGATACTAAGAATATTTGAATCTTCTAAGTAAATCTTTTATTAACTTAATAAAAACGAGTGGCATAGTAAAACTTAGGTTTTACGAAAAATCGTTACCTGCCGCACCGTTACATGTGGCACGAAGCTGAAATATATGTAGAACACTAAATATATAAGGTTATATTTGGTGGTTATATGATGTTTAAAAGATACAACACCGGCGACAGTAAATCATGAATGAGCTTAGGTGTAAGTGGATTGGCTGGAGTGCCATGTTGATTGAAAGTACCTCTACATAGTGCAGATTTTTAAACCGCATCCAACTGCTCTAGATTGAAAACTGGACTGGTGCAATTAGTCTGTATGATGGTGGTTAAGTAAAGTTACTAGAACTGAATTTATCTCAGTTTCGACAGTTTTACAGACAACAAAGCTTCACTCTCAGTTGAGTGATACTAGCTTCTTAACATAACTAAATGGCTTCATCAATATCATCAACTTTTGTAAGTTATCATTATCTTGGGGTCTGTGCAGACGCTGTTTGATCATATTATGGAGACGCTTAAAAACGGTAATTACACGTAGTCGGGCACTGTTCTGCTGTTTGATTTGGAGGAAGCGAGAATCGTATAACCTGTGTCGTGTCGTATCATCCTCCAGAACATCATCGCGGACAGCTCTACAACAAGTCAGCCTGCAGAATTTGTGCTTTTCAGAACAAAAAAGGTCCTGGTTTCCCTCGTTTGCTTCCGTCCAGCTAAGGCAAACGAAGTTGAAGAAGACAACGGGACAGCATCATTCGCCCGAAAAGACGGCCGACAAAAACGAAAAAAGTATCAGCAGCAGCACCAACAACAACAAAGAAATAAGGGAAGAACAGGACAACGACCAGAATCCTCAAAGCCTAAAGGTGACTATAATTCGATTCTTGTTAAACGAGAATAACAATATGGGTGTTACAGGTTTTTAGAAGAATATTTTTGGTTCGCAAGAATGCAAGAAAAGTGAAGTCAGAGCTCCGAACACCAGAGGGAGCATTTTTATACAAGTTTTCCAATGAAGAACGTCACTAGGCGCATTCTTATAGCACATAGAGCCTAATAACATCGTTGCGAAGTTGTCATTACTGGATATTCACTCAGATTTGATGGGTCCACCGAAGACGCCAGTCGGAACACTGAAAGTAGCTGAGAGCTTTCCAGTGGAGCGTCTCTACTGTGAGGTTCGGCATGATCTTCATCGAATGAACCTCTCATATTAAAAGACGTCCAAAGAACCAAGCGACCTTGAGCACAGGGGCGGTGTGTCTCACGTCCTCTGTGTGGGGCGAAAGTTTCCATACAGAAAATCATATTCGAGTTGTACAGTGTGCCTTATCGTGAAATATTCGGTTTGACACGATTACAGGGTCGTGTGGGAACTCGATCCTCGTGGACGTCTCCACTCAAACAGCGACACTCGAAGAGCGGAACCAACTTCCCTTCCCAGGGCAAGACCCAGAACTTTTTCGAACCCCTTCCAAGTCAGTCATCTACCGCTGCACAGCCGTCGACCCTGAGTAGGTTTGTTTTCGAAACACCTCAACATGTCCTACAGTTTAGGTAAAAACTTGATTTTGAAGCTATGTTTACACCTACCTCCGAATACATTTGCATTGAAACTGAAATTCACGACCACGAAGTCGCTTTATACAACCTCTTGCGTACCAAGTTGTCTCTGTTGAGGTTATACATAGCCACGGCATGAAAGGGCCTTTCATCAAACTTCAACGTACGCAGTATTTACGATGATTAGCATGCATATAGAAGGTGCTCTGTCCTTACAAATTTCTATTATCTGTTGTGTAATATATATATATATATATATGTTGTTATATTTTATTATCTATAACTATGATTATTGAAGAAATAAGATCCGCACCCCTCAAGTATAGAATTTCATAATTTATTTACGAAGCCCTAGCGTGTACCTGAAACGCTTGGCTAAAAGAGTTCGAGAGATGTGTTTCTTTCTGGAAAAATTAAACCATTATTGAATAATCTATTGTTAGCTTCGAAAGGGCTTAATTAACTATTCTCAGTCATGGGTAATAATCAGGAGACGATTAATTCTACATGCCGAATAGTTTGTCACCTATTGTACTTTGTTGATTTCGTTTCCACCACCTGCAGCCTCTAGGCCGCTTTCGTGGGCGGAGCGGTCGCTAGTAGAAGGTCGAAGAGAGTCGCGGCCGCTTGAGCGAGATAGGGACTCGAAGGGCAAGAAGACAATCAGCAGCAGTAGTTATAATAACAAATGCGTATCGGCGAAGGGCGGAAAGACAAAAAGTTTACTTAAGCGAAGTCTCAGCTTCGGGGCTAGGGATAGAACGGATCGTCGTGAAGACGCAACAGCAGTAAGTGGGGGTCCAACTGCAACGTTTGGCCCTCGGCGAGGTCATTCGGTGGAATCCCTGAGAATGATGCCACCTTGTTTTGAGTCTTATTGCTTTCCGACGAAATCGTTCGCCCAGAAGACGGTTTATGCTTGCAGCGTTGGTTAGTATATTCGCCTAGAAGTGTACCGAACTTGTCTCCCTAAAAAACGAGCCTCATGGTCGGCGAGCCACAACCTTTGAAAAATAACAAGTAACAATAACCACTCCTTATTTACAAACTACTGGTAGATCGCTCTGACGGTTATCCTCGAGTTAGGTTATTCGACCCAGGATAATAGTGAATCGTGAATAATAAATATCGAAATTTACCTAATGACTGAACAGATTAGATAATAAGTAGTAGCTAAATAGTTCAAGCAACTATGTAATATTTGCATTTTGATACGCCGGACACTGCGTAGGCGGTGATTTTGAACGATGGCCAAGTCTTCGCCGGATGCGAGACACTACCCCAGCACCAGGCGAATATTATATTGAACGTGCAGACCCTCTCGTACGACCTGTATCGCCTGCTTATTCGTTTGGTGGGAGACCAGCAGAGCGACGTCCTCGAACGGTTCATCCAGCTCCGTGTGACTATCTACCAGATCGGGCTGATCACATGGTATCCTCTAACGAAATTAAGCACTTGATTAACTGAAATAACAAATTTACACCTTATCTGGGATCAGTCAGGGTCAGGTGCTATGGCTAGAACAGTCTGTTAGAAAATAATGCCGAAAGCAACCGGGGGAAATTGGGAGGCCGGAACACTTACTGAGAAAAGGCGAGGAAGCGGGCGGGGGGCAAGCTGGAACCTAGCTTTAACAATAGTGAAAAAAAAAACAGGCTTAGGTTAAAGTAGGGATGAGAGAGGTAAGTAGATTAGGAATTATATATATGACGTGCTGAATACTAATATCTTTATGCCATGCCCTAGGCACAGACAGACGTGATACGCCGATGCGTGCTTTTAGCTAGTTGATCCCAATTAGCGTCGAAGATTTCGAGCCCGAAAGATGCAACAGGGCAGCGACATGAAACGAGTATAGCGTTGATTCATAGATAACACGATATAATATCTGCGTGGAGTTGAATAGAATGAATCGTTTTATTCACGTTTGGTCCATCTTCAAGCTCCATTTTATGTGACAAGTGTAAGCACGCGTGCTTGACCATAGGGTCTTCACGATATCTGCTTTTTTGTATTTTACTGCCTAGATTTGACGAAAGAGCCCTGCGTAGCGCAACTCGCCAGTCCGATGTACGTAGTAGACCTCTTTTCGTCCCCCCACGCAATATACATGTCGAAATTTTAGATGTGACACAAAACCAAAATAGTTAGCGTACGATTTATGACATAACCCGAAGTCAGCTCACTCTAGTATTTCATAGATTCGACTGATTTTCCCTAATTCATCTTAGAAAGTATACATGACATATATGCATGTGTCTTAACCATTGCAATTGTAATTTGATGGATATTTTGCCCGCAGGTTTTCACGAGTGCTCCATCATTTTCCTTCCGCTCAAAGACAGCTGATCCGGAAGTGATCTTCAATGAGCGCTTTTTCAACGCGCCATTTTCTCCGTAGCCATCTTATCTTAAGTAAAGGAACTTCACATGAACGACATTAACCCTACGCTTTGACTCAGCTGTTATCCGCCCACGGCCCTCTAAGACATGACTTTTTCTTAATTTATTTGACACCACTCTACTATGCACCAGCGTTACGGCAATGCGTGTAAAATGGCCTTTTCTAAGTAAGTATTTAGTATTTTTATGTATACTTACTTCTAAATTGTATTTTTATAGACGCTAGAGGCTAACGTTAGATGTGGAAAGAGAGATGCGCCTCTGATAATAGGTCCCCGTCTGCGAAGCCGTAGTCTGCTGGTTCGAATCCGGCAACGGGACGTACGTACCCGCCAGGCCTTACGCCCAATCACTCGATACTAATATGAAACAGGATTTCCTGCGTTACCACGCGCCTACTTGTTCTATTTTCTAATATCATGAACCACTATAATTACTGCACAGTGATTTTTTTTCTTAATCTTAGTCACCCTCTGAACTAGCTTATTGTAAGAGTGTAATTAGATAATGGTTAGGTTTTTGTAAGTAACAAAACATAATCATATTTTCCTGCCGTCTTAATAAGCTAGCGTTCCATAAATATGAATGGCAATGCCCCTTTTGCTCCAGATTTGTTGGACAAGATGCGGCGCCCCAGGACCATTTATATCGTCGCAACAACGTCGACGCCGCGGTGAACCGCTATGGGAATGCACGTTAAAACTGGCTTCATCTGGATGACCTCGCCATCCATTAGGATACTTTTGGATACCGAAAAATATAGAACCGACGATACCGTGGCAGTAATAATCTGTTATACGACAGTACCACTCTACTTGCTGCGAGTCGTTTTATCAGATTTTAGAAAACAGTAAATTATCCATAACAGTTTTGTATGCGATCTTGTGGTTCGCACACCACCCAAATATCTATTCGAATCTTAAAATATATCGAGAATAAAGGTCAACAAAACTATCGGTGTTCGTTTGCTTTATATATTGTCCGCGGTGTGAAGACTATTTGACAAAGGCAGTATATTAACGCGGTTTTACGTTACAGAGGGCGTCATCTTTAGTACCGATTTTATCATCATCTTACTTAGCAGGCGGCCACCGGGTCCTCCTTTCCCACTTTATATCTTTAGAATAATAATATGCTTGAATGAGTGCTACATAAGTTTCGTTCAGGCAAAATAATGTGCGTACGTTTACCCGGAATCGGTTATACTAATGTACATATCAGCAAGCGGTCAAGGTGCGTTTCTGTAAACGCGTGTAGTAACGAGATGACCCTTTCCAAAAAATCGCATCATTTCTCTCCTCGCAAAATACACATTATAGCATTGACTGTTTTCGAATATCCACTGCCCATTTCAATATGCCAACATGAGCATTAAGGGATTCGATGTTTCGAACAAAAAAAAATGGAGCAATCTTGCAGAGTCCCGTACTCATGTATAATGGGAGTATAGAGGACACAACTTCACTGTCTCATCACTGTGATCCTTTATGGAAAATCACTATAAGCTAGAAAGCGCTACAACCCTTTAACGGATGGACCGACAATCATTTTTTCTGCTGCTTTGAGTAAATAATTTGCACTCGAACTTGAGACCTTTTGTAAAAGTGGCTATTAGAAGGTTACGTTACCCTAGGAATATTTCTCCTAAAGTGATCTAGTTTATATCGCAGGGCTGTATTGGAACAAGACAAAAGCGGAATAGAAGTGTCTGCACTGAGCTTGTTGGTGACCAGCATGTAGAAGTGTACGTTTCTCTAACTAGATCATTATGTACGTATCATCGTCATAGGAAAACCTTTGCGTGCATGGGAAAAGCGTTTGGTCCCTTATGGGGCAATTGCTGACAGCGCCTGGTCGTCAGGCGCCGGAAAACTCTACTGCCTGCGACGGCGCAGCCCTGTGTTCAAATAAAAAGTGACTGTTCCAAGTACAACGGCGTGCCGGGCAAAAAGCGCCATATAATCAAAAACAACAATAAGCTTGAAGATCATGAATTATCTTGTGATGCCACACCGACAAAGGTTTACCCATCCCAAAATCAGGGGAAAAATGGCGTTATATCTTGCTCTTCGCTCAACTTCGGCAACATTTTTAACTGTAAATCAAATAAGATTGAGGAGGTTGCTTATCCGATCGGTTATTGCCGTTACAAAGTATCCAGCGATAATCAGAACTGTGACAAATTGGCTTACATTAATAAGTTTTTGGCATACACAAAATGTTATGCTTTAAGTTTCATATTCACGCGCCAAATGTAAAGGCTTTGGCAAAATCATGCCGTGTTGGATCTTAACGAAGGTTCTGTCCGGGCTCACAAGACAATTTAACGTAACTTTAACTAAATTCAGAAAGAATAGGTAATTCTTTCTGAATTTGGCTTTTCTTCAGAAGGGCTTCCTTTTGTAATCACTCACAAGACCTGGATACTGAAAATATCCTTGAGTTATTGCATTATTATCGGCGTGGTTTTGAAGAACCCGAGAAAACCTATGCCGACGATCGTAAGTAGGTTTACAATAACCTCCATATTTACTATGGACTATCCAACATAGAGTCTCTTCATCTATTCACACTCGCTTTTGGACTTTTTCGAGTAACTTATTTTCTTCGTGGTGTTATTTCTGGACGAGAGATACGGACCTATTTTTTTGCTATCTTGTGATTTCTCTGATGATTTTCAACTCTGTAATACCAACGTGGTGGTGGCGGCGGCGGAGATGACGACGCTGTGTTGTAACATCCGTCTTTTTTTAGCAGACGGATTACATTTTACGGAACAGTTTTTAGTCCAAAGTAAATATTTACTAAAAATAGTATTTACTTTGGACTAGAAACTACATTACTGTACTGTTGATATATTTTTTTGCTTCCAATTATTATTAATAACAATTCCTACCCGATTAACGATTGTGATTTACCTTTGCTTTAAGTTGAGAGTTGAAAGGACCTTACTCATTCTACAATGCTGGCTTTCGCATCTCGTTACGACATGCCTCAAGGCGTAATGTGCATACTATTTCTTACGTTACGGTTCAGAAGGAGCCTATATCTTACCCACTCAACGGCTTTTTATGCAAAAACACTTATTATCAATGGCTATCACTGAAAACATTAAGCTCTGCAGTTGTACGTGTATACATACACACACACACACGATAATCTCTTTTTATTTCTTCATTCTAAAGAATCAATAGATGCGGTTCCAGCGCCGAGAAAAACACATATGTAAATTACTAATTTTAATAGGCTATATTCGTTCGTTGAGTAAAGTTAAAAATAAAAACCGTGGAGTTCGGCCGATGTATCTTAGATTCAATTCGATGTTTTGACACTCATCTATATTTTCCTTCAATTTGCTCGTTATTTCTAATCGTTTTTTGTTCGTCCGACGCCTGGCGTGTGTCGTTATCAGACACTTCACAACTATCGTCTGGGCTGATAGATATAGTCCCCATTTGAAATCGCGTTCTTTGACAGACAACAATGTAAATGGCACCAGATGTCCGTTTAAGTTGTAACAGGACAATAGTCCTCTTTTTGAGGCCACATATTACTGACGACTTTTTGCTTCACTTGCACCCTTCGGCATAAACGATTCAGAGTTTCGCGTGTACGTACATCGTAGCTGGCAGGTCCTCCGCCTAGGAACACACTTCGGTATAACAGGCCGAAGGTCACAAACACTCGTTCTGGATAACTATATTGTCTCGAGTTTAAAATCCAATTTGTGTAAAACTACGGAAGACACTAGGTTCGTCCCTCCTAGAGTGATGTGTCTTACCAAATGGTGGCAGCTATACACAACGAAAATAGTAGATTCATGTACCACAATCACGTTTGTTTTCCTCCTCTTCAGTAGCGTTTTAATATTAATATTTTTTCTTGCAATACATTACAGCGCCAGGTAAATATAACCCTCCACCGGCAGACGCCTACAAGAAAAAGAGTCCTTCGTACAGCCTTAGTTATAGGACGACGATTCCGACAGATCATACAGCTAAACCTGGACCAGGACAATACACTCCTGAAAGGGTACGTACGAAATGATTCTAATCTTTTGAGCGGACAATATTTGAAAAATTAGCAATTTATTACCTTAATTTTGTCTAAAAGTGGCTAATAATAATAATAATAAACTATTATAATGTATATATATATATATACACACATTATGATAGTTTAAATAATGTCATAGTCCGTATTTCCTTCTATATATGTGGTCTTCTGCATAACAGTCTAGATAAAAATCGTGACATGTTGGATATCTAACTAATGTGTTTGTCTGGAGTAAGCCTGTTTACTGATTATTCTATGTTCCTGTAACATTTTTTAATTGAACTTTATATATTTAAATTCAATTGTAGGTGTTCGTGAACAAATTGTCTGCACCACGTTTCAGTTTTGGTATTCGCCACAGCCCGTGCGCTGAAACCAAATAGGATCTACTTACTTATTAAGGTGCACGAAGGCAGAAAAATACAGGAACAGGAATACCCAACGTTTGCGATACAACGGAAGGCATGTAAAATGGAGAGGACTACCGCGTACTGGTTATGGATTCTGGACAACAGATGACAACGCCGCGTGCGTACACCCTTAAGTGCCTCTCTACCCAGGATTCTGTTATAAATTGTGGGTGTCCATCTCTAGAACACGGAAGCTTATTTTACGTCATATACGTAAAAACAATTTATTCGTTTAATGGCCTGAAATTATCGACGTAGCAGTTGTCTATTAGAATAGAAGAAACCCTTGAAGCTGTCTAGACTTATATCGGCCTTGATTTTGTTAAAACGGACTATTTCGTATTGATACCGCTAAAAGGTAGATAAGATTCCGGCACCCGTACTGCAAACAAATGACGAATTTCTTTATATACTCAATTGAATCGATGGTTGGCACATACTATGCATTTCGAATGTGACACACCCCGTAACGCAAGCGTGAATTCAATACGACCCGTAGCAACCGATCGACACAATTGTATGTATCTAATTAAGACATTTTCACGCATTATATGACGGATTTCGGGGGCCGTCTACCGGGGCCCATAATAAACATGGCTTTTAAAGTACAACGGCAGCGTCGGCACGACGCTGATTTTGTAGGCAGTTACGTAGTCGGATACGCTACTGATTCAGCACATAAAAGTGGGTATTTCGACAAATTCAGCAAAACAGCGTAAAGTAGATTTATGAAACAGATGGCTACTGACGCCAATGGAATATTATTCATCTTCTTTAGTACGAGTTTCCAATTTGGCGTATCTGTACATTTACTCAGCTCATATAAATTACAGTTCGGTAATATGTAACGTGAATACTATTAAATACTGTTCGGCTATCCAGTTTTCTAGAGAACATCGTTTCAGGGAGTTTTTAAATTGAAAGCTATTGTATTTGGACGTGTTGTGTCTGCGATCATGCTAACGTTACATTTTCATTTACATACTAGAAAGGAAAAAAAAGATGATATTATATATCGAGTCACGGAATGGTAGACATCTTGGCAAAAAAAAATATCGTCTCAACACACGCTGTCACTGGGCAACACACGGTATCGTGTAGGACAACCAGTAACATCGTGTTATGGGAATTATAAACATATACACGTACGGATGTTATAATCTTAGCACGCGACCAGCATCAATTGATTTGATCAACTGTTAAGATTAAAGCTCAAATAGAGTTACAAAGTGCGGAATCATAACTTGAGGTCTAGAAACTTGAACAACTTTAATCGCGCTATATCTCTTCAAATTTTGATCGTAGTAATGCTATATTGTTAAAAAAAAAAAAAAAAAAAACAAGATTTTCAATTTGCATCTATACATCTTTAATGAATGAAAAAAATTAACTCTCAGAGTTCGCCTGAAATAAAGTACCAGCTAGCTTATACAATGGTCTCTTTTTCATTTTGACAGGACCCTCTGCAGTAGAGCGGGACCCTGCTGGAGTCAAAACGTAAATAATTACTATTTATATTGCGTTATAGTCGAGAAGGCAATAACAAGTACGTCCTGTTACAATCCAGTCCAGATCTACCGGCAGCATATTCCGTACGTTTACTTAGCGGGATGTCGCTCGTTTCCATTTGCCTATATCCTTAATGACAGCAAATACAAAATCACATTGATTTGGACGCATATTTTTAGCTTTATTTTAGTTCAAAATAACCTTACGCCATCTTGAGCGCTACACTTATACGAGTTTATATGAGGGTCCGCGTATGTACAGTGGATGGCTTAGGAATACCCGTCCCCAAAAGCTATGGACTTTGTCGGTAACACTTCAAACATAGGCCTATACATCCGTTCACAGGGTACGCCATATAATATCATTAAAATTCAACATGACATATACTTAAATTTGCTTTTCCTCCTTAGAGTGAAAAGGGATCGTTTTTATTGACGGGTAAACGAAACAGAAAATCTTTTCCACAGGGGTATTGCCGCTGAATATGATATTGTGTTATTTATTACTTCGATGTCATTGGCCGTTCGTCAGGGACATAAACGCACGTATGGGCTCTGCTGTGTTAACGACTAAGGACTTCTATTTACACTTGAGCATCGAACCAAATAAATCTAACGATTACCGTTTCATAATCTCTATATTGATATACGGAGACAATTGGTTAGCTGAAATTAGATTAGAGAAAGCTGTCAAATACTATGAATCAGCCACGAGTGGACGTAATCAATAGTGTGTGTGTGGGGGGAAGACCTTAAGTTTGATCTTCAGTGAAACACGCTTGGCGTCGCTTGAGCATCATGTGCACCACAGGTGGAATTATATACTTGAACAAAAAAAAGTTAACAACAAATCACTCTGTATCTTTTCAAACAATCTGTTTCTGACAAACAACAACGGCAGTCGTCTAGTGTTTTTCCAAGGACTACATCTATATTAATTTCATCGGGGGAAGCGCATCCCCCAGAGAAGACAAAGAACAATCAGATGTAAAAATTGTGCACAGTAATTATAACGATAGCTCGCACTGCTCGTACATTTTCAATTAGGGTGTATTGATTTGATTGAATTGGCCAGAGATATGTGTGTATGACAAGGATTTAATTGCTGCGTAAGTTTTAGTGGAATAAGATCAACTTTTTTTTTTTTTTTTTTTTTTTTTAGCCATAATCAGGGTTTATAGTTGGGTGATTAATCGATTCTTCTGTTGAAAAATATAGATTTACCTGGAAAGTTATTACTGCAGTTATGTCCTTACATAACATCGGCTTTCACAAGACAACTGTTGCAAGGAAAACGTTCCACGTCTTGTCCAAAACATAAACCTTTTTTTTTTGCTGCGTACCTGAACCACAGATGTTTCAACCTACTCGAATAGAATGGACGTTACATTAGAAATCTATACATTTACAAGGATTTGTACATCTTTGTCGTTCAACAGACAGTTTATATTACTGAATCGTATAATCTCCAATCACTTTCGGCGTCTTTAGTGAAGTAGATGTATGCAGTTGTCATCAATCATGTACGTATTCGTCTAACTGTGTTTTGTTAACCCGCGAGCAGTCGTCACAGTCACGTTTCGAGCGACGTGACGCCATACTCCGGGAAACCCGACCTCATTGGCGGTTTCTGATGCGTTTCTACCGCGGTGAAGAACAATTGAGCCTGGTAACTTTGCTTGTAAAAAGCAAAAATTAACTTCGATATTTGATGATTAGTATTATTATTCCGAAGTCTGCGTCTCCGAAGTGCTTCGCTGCGCACAGGATATTACTTTCTGGGAACCCTGTTCAGTGACATACTTAGTAAGCTCACCCATCCTCGGGATCATGCATGAACTTGACCCACCTGAAAGTCTCAATGACGTGTCACGATGGGACATAATTTTAGCCAGCAGGAACTGAACTATTCTAGCTTGTCTAACAGAATATGGCTGGAAACTTGAGTTGGGCTCCGGGTTCCGCGACGATCAATCCTACATCCTCTATATCCTTTCTCCAGAATCTTAGGTAGACTCTGGCAGGAAGGTAGAGAGCTTTCTAATTGCAACCTTTGCAGTAGCAAAAGCAATTTATATACTAGGCCACTAATACTGTTATACGATGTGAACCTTTTGACTACAAAGGTGGTCTAGAATATCTGAAGTCTACTCTCGTGACGTTAAAGAATCTGTGCACTTCGCGCCATGTTAGATGCGCTGATATGGTGTTTGCAGGTTGACGATGACGGGTTCTTCTACGGCGGGTTTTAAAGTCTTTCAAAGCCACTATACTTCATCAAGTATGGCGCATTATCACTCAACTCTATTATTATGTGCATTAATTTTTTACCTATACCTATTAAGGCTTGAAATGGAGCGCAAGTAAGGTCTTTATCTATAATAAAATTATAGAGCGCTCGTGTCGTTTTGTACTTGACGTGCGACTTCAGCTGTTGAAAAATACCTGTGCGGTCACCTAACCTAAATAGAAATGATGCGATCGCTGCGCCCCCTGACCGCCGCCGCATCAAACTGGCTATTGAATGTCTAGAGCTGTAATGGTTGTATTATATGGATAAGTCGTCGTAAACAATGATAGAAACTGCCATTCAGACTCTTCTTCATCTTTTGTCCACCAAGTCTTGCGCAAGAAGATTACAAAAATATCATAATATAGTATTAAGTTATGGATTTCATTTAACCAAAGTATTTGTCCCAGCAGCAGCTAACCGTTAGTATATTTATGTCCCGTTTTCTGACCGCGTAACATGGGTTCCTTTGTCAACTAACAACAGCTTATCAGTCTTCGTGATGACAAAACTGCGTCTCTTAAGATTTGATAATGATGATAAAGTCAAAAACAGTATACATCTGCATTGTTTATATGGCAATTACTTCACTGGTGGCAGGTGTCACTTAAATTGCTGGTGCCGCCTTCCGCCTCTTCTATCCAGATGGACATTACTACTGGTTATGATTCGTATCGACATTGCCTTTTGGAATATATCCTTCTTCCTTAGAACGGCTCTAAACCAAAATCGTTGAGTCATCTGACGCGTCTAGGTTTTCACTGCTCCCCTGTAACGTGTACGTAAAAATGCCTTTAACGTTCGTTGTCTGTCACTGTCTCAAAGGAGCTTTTCTGTAATTGTAAAGAACAGCTGTAACTTTTTTTTTTTTTCGTAAAAGTGCTAAAAGCTATCATCTTCGCGTGCTCTGGTGAGGCGATTACTCCGACTGTGTCGGACCATTGAAGGCTCATACGCCCATGTCTGAGCGCAGTATGTTGACAAAGACCATTCTGCTCCGAAGTCGTCTTAAACGTACTCTCTTTTTTACGATCCAAGATGTTGCAGGCGGGACTAGCAAAAATAAATAGTTTCAGTACTAGTTAATCAAACTATGAGTTGTATTCTACATCTATACCTGCACTGATATGGATGGACTTCCGGACGACGAGTGCGGTAATCGCCTGATTGGAGTCGATACACGGCTCTTACTGCTAAGCTTGTGGCCTGTGTTATCCATTGAAGAACATGTTGCAGCCAAGGACGGCGGTGATGTGACGCTCGATGTTTTTGTTGTGAGAGATCCTATTGAAGCAATCAAACTCGTAAATATATCAGTAATAATTTAGGAGAAATAAGCTGCTGCTATGTGATTTATAGACTGATACTTTTTATCTAGCGTATAAATAAACCGATGAAGGTGCGATAGAACCTATTGCTACAGGCTAGCCAGCTACGTTGTTCTCGATTGTCAGTACATGTAATATGTGTAATTCTCTAAATGAAAATCTAGAGAAGATCATCGGGGTGTTATTACCTTCAGTGGTTAGTCCACCTGTAGCACTGACTGTTCCCAGTGATACCGTAGTAGCAGCAGCAGCTTCTCTTTCGTGAAGATCGTCAAGGCTTCCGGCGGCCGACTCGTCAACATCTGTTGTTGAAAGCTGATCGTCATCGGAGCCTTGACCAGACTGCGACGGTTGTAGTGTCGGTAGATCCGAGGTCAGCAATGCCCTAGTGAAAAAGAAAAACCAAAAAAAAAGCTCGCAGGTACATGTTTATGCGATTGTATCAGCTCTTCGAGTAGGTCACAGCCTTATACCTACCAGCGAACAGGAGTGCTTCATTACCCATTTGTGAACTATCTTAGCTCTACAATCACGTGTTATAAGCTTGAGCTATACCAGGTCACCAGCCACAATTTTCATTGAGCGTTTTTAATAGTAAAGATCCACATAGTACTGACGCGGCGCTACAACGCGGAGAAGAGTTCGAAACTTTACTAGAAGTTTCGTACTAAAAGTACACATAGTGCATAAGGTGATTTAATTCGAGCAAACAAGCCATTCGAAATACTGCTATCACTGTTACTTACTTCTCTTTCTGTAGATTTTCGATGTGATTTGTAAGGATGGTTTCTTCGAACTGATCTTCGGGACCAGCGCGATTCTTTTCCTCTGCCAAAAACATGCGTGATGATCTGGAATAGAAGTATGAATTACAGATTAGTAGTGACAAACAACATAAAATGACGATTTCTGGTTACTTTCTCGTTGTAAATATGACTCGCTGCCCGATGGAGCAGTTAAACATATTACAGGAAAAAAAAATATAGTGATTTATTAGACCTGCTTGTCCTGACACAACATCAAACAATTTTACCTTAAAGACGATAGTCTTGTAGAAGCTGTATGACATGCTGTGTCCAGTGTATCAATCTCTGCCAGTGTTGTAGTTAACCTCTGCAATTGGTCTTCGATGAGTAAGGTAATACATTCGGTCTGCTTTGCCACCGAAGCCAATGAATCTTGAGCCTTTTCTTTTTTATTGTTCGAACGGAAGATGCACGGTGTAAATATAATAGCGAGATTTTCCGATTTCATCCGATTTGAGTCTTCGTGTTGAGCTACGCGGGCTAGATGGAACATTAGTCGCCCGAACAACTCATAGTTTCGCCGAGGAAGACGGGCCAATTGATGGAAGATCGCCTACACAAATAGCGTATTAATGAGCGAAAGACAATTGTTCGTTGTACGAGCCGTTCAAATGATTAAAAAAATTATCGTTGGTAAGGTAAAAACGTTAAAACTAGGAAGATAATTAAAATATGCCATTAAAACCATCATCTTTGAAGGCTTTCTGGATATATATATATATATATATATATATATATATATATATATATATTTCACTTTGTTCTTCGATAAACTGAATGAGGTTATTTTACTTTTTGGCAATGCGTATGCGTAGAAACATCGATCGCTTTTTGATCTAATCACTTAATACTAAACGCATTTTGTGAATATCCCGTTTATATAGCCTTCTATCTTAAATTAGTGGGCATATTTGGCGGCACTGTCTGGGTGGATGTGACTACATCTACATACCTGTAAGCGTTCTTGTCTGTCGACTATCGATGCCGCCCAAACAAAGTTCGAATAAAGATCAGCCGTCATCAACGGCTCAGGCAGATCTCTGAAAAATGCCTTCAATACGGAGCTCAGCACGTGGATTCCATAGTTGTCCAACGTTACACTATTACGGACGACAGACAAAACCGGTCACAAAGTTGATTACGTGTAAAACGATAGAAAGAATACGTCTGTTTTTATGAGGCCAAACGAAGCAATTTAGTAGTCAATCAACGTTGGTTATTATATGATCTTCTTGATTAGCTTGCGTAATATTTATGCTGAAGGTAAACGACAGATACTCGAATTCACACTATTATACCGTTGAATTTAACTCAGTCAAATAAACGCCAGCGATCAAATACAAACACCGTATGCAGTGGCCTAAACATTACTAGGCACAATTTACCTGTGCGGATCTTCGTCCATAATGAGCCTTAATTGATCTATCTCTGCTTTACGCCCTCCCTTACGATAAAGACCCTCACTATAAAGGCCCCGCAGCTCAATCTGATTGATCAGCATATCAACCACAACTGGAACCTATAACAGAAACGGAAGTGTACATCATAAATTACCATCTGTTAGTACGTATTCATCTAAACGATAGCTAAAAAGACATGGCAAAACTCTTTGTTAGCACGGATACTCTTATATTTGTTTTTCTTTAATAAAGTACAAATCTGTTTGAATTAAAGCAAACTAAAACGTAAGTTGTCTGGTAGCGTAGCATTTAGTGTGAGACAATTCTATTGACCCTGTGCCACTTGACCTGAGCTCAAAGATAAAACACAAGACTAAAAGCAGATTCGTATTCATAATAAAAAACAACAAAAAAAAAAGACTGCCCTGTGAATTTATCGTACTCGTGTGCCGAGATTTACTGTCCCACAGTAACCAATCCGCACGCTCAAATGGGTTATTCGCTATGTAAATCTAGGTTCGCGCGGATGCGCTTCGTGAAGACTGATCGAATGACGACACTCACTTTGGCCCGGTACACAACTACTCCACAATTCTATTTTTACTTACCATTCTATTTTATGATCTAAAGTGAGCTAAATGTATTTGCTTGTATTCTTCGATGTGCCGGCAACGTAAGAACGGCTTTAGTGATTTTCATGATCTTTTTATAATTATACTTCGCCTGAAGAATCACTATGATATAGGTATGTATACTTGAAACACATAGAACATGTCCTAACTAGTTGATGCCTATGACGATGATACTAGTTTGTCTGCATGATGTGGATGATGTCAAGCGAAGATTTGAACGAACAAACGGGCTTAAGTAGAGTGTATAATACAATATAAATATGCAATGGCAGAAAAGCCGCAGAGTGCACAGTCAAGGTCGCTTGTTAGAACGTGCTGTTTATGCTTGTTAAATGTTTCTGCAGAGATAAAGGTGCTAAGCAGAAAGGCACCCTGAAGTAATAACAAAAGAAAAACAGAACTCAGTTAGCTGTTACGAAGAAATCTTGAAGGATGAGCACCTGATGAGGTCAAGTGAAAGAGCGCAACGGGGAATACAAGTCGACGCGAGACAACGCCCGGCCGCTGACTGCCGTATCTTTATCGGACTGATTTTCTTTATTAACCTACCTACAAGGAAACTGCAAGACTACATATGAGTGCGTACGTTTTTAACAGTGCTAAATTACAATTTTACAATCAATTTTAAAGATGAATGACTTAAGGCCAATTACCTGTCCTTCGCCCTCTTCTACAAGGATCTCCAGAGGAACGCCAAAATGATGACGATGCGGGTAAATCATATTTCGACATGAAGCGCTTATTTGCGTGTAGCACTTTTTGTGGCACATCAGTTTACAACCTGAACAAATCAGACCTTTTTCGAGCATTAGCCTAATAGGTAAAAATAGAAAACAACAGATATTAGTTAGCACCCTTGCATTACGCCAAGCTGCAGGTATCTTGACTAGCGCTAGGCCGTATGTGCGGCCTGGAAAGTGCTGCGTATGTGGCATTATTAAAAGCATGGTTCAAACATATGCAGTACGGTGAGAAGACCCGCCACAAGCGTTTTTCCTCGATCTAGTCACATTTGTGACGCACGCCAAATGATTCCCTCATCACCAGCAGCCACCTGACGTAATACCTCATAACGTCGATCTCGAGCGTACGGAACGAATTATTTTTAGCCACAAATACCTGATTGGATGATTGCACACTTCGCAAGCGGTGGTGATATGAACCAGTTGGGTGTGAAACAGATGCTCACGATGCTCAATGATATCTTTGCGCTTTTTCGCGGCCTTCTTCTTTGCCTTCTTGTCACCAGACTTGTCCTTTACCTGAAGACATAAAAAAAACTGCACTATTTGCTCCAAAAAAAGGGTAAAGAAGCGTGTTGAATGAACGTGAGCAGTTGCACGCGTGTCTGCATATCCATGTTGGGAGAAGTGTTAGTGGATTTTGATTTCACAAGACATCGAGTTCGTGCCTGAGTAATCCTGAGTAACGAACCTCCTTGTTTGGCTCCTGTGGTGGCGCTCGACAGTTATTGTTTCGGAATTCATCGATAAAGCCTCGGAATGCATTTACGGCCATCGTTGTGGGAAAGTTTCGTTTCACGTCGGCTGTTTGTGTTTTGAGTACGGATCGCACCACCTGTGCGTAATGGTCCGTCAGATCCTTGTACCTAAATTTACAAGTACAAGTTTTCATGACTTAGCACCCGTTTTAATGAAAGTGGCGCGTACTGAACATTGAAATGACGAAAAGTATATACTAGAAGTGTCGCTCATAATTCTGCAGGAGTGACCCTGAGTTAAATAAACATCCGTAAAGTTTACTAGCTCGCCTATTCTCTTATAGCACTACCATATCAGAGACAGCACATATTCCAAAATGGAACGTGTTCGTAACTAGCTCGTTTACTGTATTGTGAGTAGGTTTGCAAGCAACAAACGTCATGAAAGACACGATTGGTGTGCATCTTAAAAATAGAACTATCTAGTAATTAGTTGAACTTGAATAGTAATTATCGAGCTTACCGAAGGCATAACTGTTGCGTATCCTGTGGGGCAGTGGAATAGGTGGAAATGAGATTGCATTTGAATTCGCGCAGCGCCAAGGCGAAAACTCGATCGACTTCACAATCTTTGGCCGTGTATTTTCCTTCGGAAAGGGTACACAACTTCCTCAGAAGGAACGCCTCTAGATTCTACAGTCAAAACGAAAAAATAAATAAACATTCATCATATTGAATTCAAGTATATATAAGTGTGTGTATTATGTACAATGTAACAAACTCTGGTTAAGTATTATGTTTTAATCTGACTCGTGTAATATTCACGTTAGTACAATAGGAAAAACTGTTGCAAAAGGTTTCCCATACGCTTTAAAATAATATTCGGAATATTTTTTATGCGTCGCGGGTTTATACGGTGGTCGGCTGTTCTGCTAAAAATGATCGCTGGCAACTTTCGTGTTACATCTGTCTACAAAATAAGGAGTTTTAAACTTTTTTTCCCGGGAACCAGTTGGCGAGTCGTACTTTGAGCACGGCGGGGTCTGAGATAATTACGTCCCCGGGATCTTTAAATTGAGTCGTCCTCGTAAGATTCCAGCTCTTGACGGGACTTCCGGACACGCCAGTTGAGTTTTGCTGAGATACCGGAAGGTGTCTGTAATAGCACAACAAAAGCACTTGTAATTCCTCAAAGATAAAATACCAAAAACTACATTTTTACCTTTAACCTCAACTTCTTCAAGTCATAAATGGCACATGGTCAGGTGTGAAGTTCTAATTTATTAGGAATTCCTCTGAGCATAATTTTTAAATTATAGATGGTACCTATTATGAACGGCAAAAAGTGACCGGTCACGCGAGGTTCCGCGATGATCGCGAAGTAACGCTCCTGGACCTGACTCTCCGGTGCTAGTATGTAAGGGGGATGAGTGTCGCTGCGAGGCGGGTCGATCAGTCAACGAATTTATAGAGTGGCTTGTAGGATGGAACGATGAGATTGAATCTTTCACGGGGGAGCATGGCACAGAACCAGCAGAACAATCTGAATGAAACAGGCGCTTGCAACCTAAAAAACAATTGCACGTTTAGTTTTGACACCGTACGACAATATTATAGAAAACACACTGTGAATCGGGGTTTTCTGCATGAAACGACTATTTTTATTATGATAGAAAGTCCACTCCTTGTTTTGTTCCATATAATAACAATCTTAGAGTATGATACATACTTGTACACTGCCCCATGTGGGCGTATCCAAGTCCTTTGCAAGATGCGCACACCTGGCCCGGATGCACCTTCACCCTTTGCAGTAGATGAACGTTGGCTCGTCGAAAGCCTCCGTGGCCGCGAACACTGCCTACTCCAATAGCAGTTTCGCTTACACACGGACGAAGAGGTGCCTTTTATAGGAATGAAAAAACTCTTTTCGAAAATCCGTAGAAGCAAATAAGGCGTCCACATTCATCACAGTGATGAATATATCACAAACTTTGACCAGTTCTCAGAAGTAGTTTGAATAAATGATGCAAAAGATATCGTTAGAAATTGTGCATCTGTTCTTGATATACCTTTCATTGCCTGTATAGATGAAGTTTTCTCGAATTACCTTTTTTTTAACGGATCTTGGTGGCCTCCTCTCTGGGGATGATGAAGATGGGAAACCTGGATGGCCCTCCGAGCTTTCGTGCCGCTCATGGTGTTGATGATTCCTGCGAACAATATTAGGATAGGAATTGTTACCCGTTATTCAAGTCTGTTAAAGATTAACGTAAAAACTTACTTCTAATATCGAAAATATTAAGGAATTTCGTTTTTCTTTGTCTGTTTTTGCTTTACAAGAACAAAGTGATCACAAGCACAATCACTAGAATACAGACATCAGAACAAATATGTGTCTGTGTTTTATTGACTGACCGTAATTGAAGCACATCCCTGCCGTGGTCTTCCAGATGCGGTTCTTGAGGCTGTTGTTGAAGATGCGTGGAGGGTTGCTGATTAGCGCTGCTATTATCGACAATCCGCTCGGTTAGTTGCGATATTGAAGAGTGAAGTGGACTCGTTTGAGCATGAAGAGCAGTCGTATCAACGGTGCGGTATGGACTGGTCGGAAGTGCGTGGTGGCTCTGGTTTCGGGTCAGACTGTCTCGCGACGGAACCGTGTCTGGTGTTATTCCCCCAAGAGATCCCTGCTGGGGTGCTCGTTCCATTGACCTTGAAGTCCTCCTGGAAATGTTGTTTTTTTTTTTAATAATCTTCCAATAGTATAAATATTTGCATGTGTCGTACCAGTCTAGAAGACATCAGAATCTTGATGCGATAACATTGCATAGTCAACAGCTGCTTTAGAATTGGTAGCTAGAATAAGATAAGGAAAATTGTTGAATTTTGAACTAGCCTGAGAGGAGGATGATGCCTTCTTTGGGGTAGAACGACAGCTGTTTTTGAAGGCTCTAACGGCAGGGTGCCATAAGCAACAATCGCGTGAAATTTATGTGCTGCCATGTACTCTTGATATCGTAGTCGGGCCAGATAACCCCTACAAGCAGCCTAGAAGAGAAAACGCACAAACAATCCAATCAGCGATGTTCGGATATCGAGGACACCAAGATCGGAACTTATTTATCCGTTAGTTCGCTTGAATACAAAAGCCAATAGGTTCTTGCGGAGGACACTTCGGTATGTTAAAATTCGTCTACTCGTGACATCACGTTAACCGGATTTATTTCCTTAATCTTATCGAAATTTAAGCGGATATCTTCATAAATCAATGGCGACTGTCACAAAACTGCAAGCTTGGCTTGGGTCATGTAGAAGTCCAAACGAATTTCCGGAACAGATTATTATACTAGTTGGAGCCAAACATACACATAAATAGGAATCTTCTAACTATTAGACTCACCTGAAAATTGACAATCACTCGTTCGATCTGAAGGTATGCTTTATTGCGCTGATAGCGTAACCACGCGTGCTGAATAATGATCGCCGCCCGCTGTTCCGTCCTCATACGGGCAACTCGTTGCCTAACCAGATAACCCCGGCAATAGGCCTGCAGCATTAATTATACATGCATGCAGCACGTTAAATAGGCGCCACGAATGCACGTATATAGGTTGTTCATTCTTAGCTTTTACAGGGTGGCCTGAAGCCTTAATTAAGGTTGTCATCCTTTATTAGCTCTAACCTGGCAGCAAATAGAAATGTCAATGCCACTGGTACTAGACACAATCATCACAATGGATGCTCTCACGATGCTCATTGACTAACCTGTAGGGGGACGATCGAGGTTCGCAGATGTTGAAAATGCCTTCGAAGCAGCCACGCTCTGATCAGCCTCTGCAAGGTGACAATCCTCCTCAAGATATGTTGATGCAATTGTTCATCGAGCTTAAGCTTTTCAGACTCGCGCAAGAATACCTTGCTTCTGCCCATCTGATACTTGGTTGTGTCGAGCTTCATTCGTTCCAGAAAGATTTGAATATCACTCTGGGAGCTAAGTAATCCATTCGGTAGCAATATCCGATATCTCTGAATAAACTCCTCGAACGTGAGGCGAACTGAATAGCCCGACTGACGGATACGGACGGTTTCAAGCATCCCTGTGTAGCGAAGCTGTTGCAAGATGACCGCTTCGTCGAACATGCATGGCACCTAGTTAACGGACGACGTGCAGAAAAGTTCTTATGATAGACCGCTACGATATATCGTCCATACGAATTGCATATTTTATTTTTTTTTTTTTTAATTTTCGTTCATTTTGTTCACCGTGATTTTTATTTGTATACTTTGTGCTTTTTTTTTTTTTTTTTTTTTTATATACTAGTTTGTTTTTGCCAATTTACACACGTTTATCCATGTATGCGACAATGAGAGAAAAGAGTCGTTTTCGTTTACGTAATTAAAGTTACTGGATAAACCTAGATGTGTTCTTTTTTTTACTTCATCTGAAGAGTGCCTTACCTTGCCGACATTGCTTTTAATGCACCTCACGAAGAACGGGTTCGCCTGGTTGAGTGTGTCCATAAGTTTCGCAAGACTAGCCCCGAACTGCGAAGTTACCGTTGAATTGCTTTTACGGAAATTTTGCTTTGCTCCAGATGACTTGGACGGCGTTAATTCACCCTATTAGACGTGTTATATCATTCATAATGAAGTTCTTTAACAAACGCATCATTTACAAGGATGAGGCACCTAGAAACCGTATTCTTTCTCTCGAAGTACTTAAGACAGATATGGCATATTTGCGCCAAATCTATCAAACAAGAGACGTATTCTGCTTCTTTTTTCGTAGAATCTCATTTTCTGTTGGTATACCAAAAAAATTATGCTTTATGATAATACGAGCGTTTATATATGGGTCTCGCCTCGGAGAAGTTCAATATTATGTCAACATACTTTTAATATTTGTTTATTTCACTTAATGATTAAATAATTTTCGAGTGGTTTACCTAAGTAATTCTACCGTTAAATTTACCAAAGCGTACAATACCTGTGTATTGGAATGAGCCATTTTGATATTCTGTAGAGTGTATACGCCTCGGGCATGGCGAATCCGCGTACGAGATGACTTGTTCTTCTGAATGATCTGGTTGGCCTTTTGGAGAACTTTTGCTTCTGACGCGCCAAGGATATACTCAAGGCCACCAAGACCCTAAAAATGTATCCAAGACAATATCTTCTAGGTCACGTCAAACCGCTTCTGGGTTCATGAAAAGCCCCTCGAAGTCTTTTACTCGTTTCTAGTTATTGTGTTAACATTAATTATGACTATTAAATCGGTATTACTTTTTATTAATCAAAGAAACCTAGCTACATGTGTGAAAAATAAAACTACATTATCAACACAAGAAAGTACTATTACGCCCGATTAGAATCGAATAGTGCCCGTAATTTTATAGATTTTTTCGAGCCCTATTCTACGGGAGTTTCGAAAACCGCCTCTTTACATACAACGTACTTTGGAACAACAAGAAGCAACAAGTTGGACGAACACTACGCTATTCTATTATGACTGGAAGAAATCATAATTTCTTCAGTTTGTGAATTACCTTATTATTATTGTTATTTACGTTAGCACTGTTATACGTCCAGTTATCGTAGTAGAGGCTATCGGCGGGAATACTGCCTTCACGTGGCCGGCCGAATCTTCCTAGCTGACCTGTGGCTCCGGTACTCGCAGTCGGGTTTTTGTGGGCGTATTTTTTGCGTAGACGCACAAATACGGCAAAGCACTTGAAGAACGCACGGATCACCCGCCACCTGTCATGATACCATATATCTTCACTTCAATTTCACTATCGACGTGGATCATGGCGCAAATCAAATTTTCTAGAAAAATATTTGACTGTAAAAAATGACGTAGCTAATTTGTGATTCAAATATTCTATTTGTTGGGGTTATTTTTGGCGTCGTCCAGTTGAACGAATCGTTCAAAGTAGATGGACGCGAAGCGGCACGTCTTCACGTACCCTTCCAGCTCACTATGTGCACACGTCACCTCGAGCGAGCGGTGTCTTCGCAAGGCTGCCCTTGAACATAGTGCCATTTGTCGTCATCGTCATACCTTTAGAACTAGTTTGATACTCAAGTGTTGTTTATGGCTTACCGATATAGGGCCACTGGGTCACCCCCAACGAGCTCACGGACGAAACTGATCTGTGAACTTTTAAGAACTGCGACAACATCGGGTTTCATTTGATCGAGATTTTTCTCCTTGAAATCGTGAATCTGGTACTTAACCTGTAATGCAGAATTACGCAGTTATACGTAACGCGTTTCCGACAGCATTCGTTCAGGAATGTAGACACCGTAACCGCCAATAATACACGTAATTATGGGCTGATTTTAGTCAAAAAAAAAACATAATATTTTCGATTAAGTTGGTCATAAAACATTGTGAAATAGGTAATTCAAAAGCAGATCAGTACTCTCAACGCGAGTGTAACTCATGCTTCAAACGTTTCTTGATTACTGTTGTTTTTAAGAAGCCACTTCAAAGTTGGCGTTCGCACCTTCCCGGCATAGTGTTTGACAAAGAAAGCGCTCTCTTTTTTCTGAGGTTCGTCATAAAAACCATTTGATTGTCCTCTGCCTTGACCATGAAAATCTTTGAATTTTTGCAGCAACTGCTGGTCCGTTGATCCGCCGAAGTTACACTGATCATTAAGAAGGCAAACCAGTCCGTGTGGACGACCCTCTATCAGTGCCAAGCACTCCTGGATTAACGTCAACAAACACAGCAAAAAAAAAGAATCGTACCTTCAGTATGCTATGCTTTTATGCGACAGGTTTTCGACGATATGCTACCTAAATAGCAAATGCTGTACGGACAAGAGCTTCAATCTGCTAAGTGTTTTAGTTCACGCCGGCTAAGACTGATGTGATGCATCATCGAGATTTTACCGGCGAATTAGAGTGGTTATAGAAACGTAAGCGACCTGCTCACGGAAACGGCATTTATCGCCTTCGTTCATGGTGATCAGAAATTTAGAGGTTATCCGTTGCTGATTCTTAGGGGCTAGACAACGATTCGATGACCATTGACTTACCTTGTTGTCCTCGAATTCAATATTTTTCCAGTGTATGCCTTCTTTTAGATACTCTTCTTGTTCATAGTTGAAGACATGTTGGTTAAAGTAATGCTGGAGATGTTCGTTAGCCCAATTGATGCAAAACTGCTCGAAGGTGTTATGGTTGCCTAAAGACAAAAGCGTATAGAGGTCAGACAAAGTGTTAACAGACACGAACAAGACACATAGACCATTTGATATGGCTTTTTGTTTGTTACGTACTGCACAACTGGCTTACCGAAATCCTCAAAGCCAAAGATATCAAGGACTCCTATTGAATAACCGCGATGTTGTCCAGCTAGATCCTTTTTAGACAGCAGAGCGTAGTTCACCTAAACAATGCAAATGACAAAGTTGATCGCCTCACATCGCTGTTTCTATAATTCAATGTATTTTCTATTGAAAATATCGGCGGTTACAGGCATCATTTACCCAAAGCAACATGAAAAACGCTAGATTTGCTCGTTCGGCATTTAATACGCAACATATTGTTATTTTTTTTGCAATATTTTCCTAGATTTAGTTTACATTTATGTTTTTTCTGTTGCATAAATTTCTAAATTGTGAATATTTTTCTTTTGTTACTATCGCTGTCGGTCCTGATGTTTCCTTTCGCTTGTCTATGGCCATATCTACTGAGGAAAACTCGGCGCTACGTGGTCTAGTTGCAAAGGCAGGACGCAATAATCCGTTAATATTGTTATACCTGCATAACAATCCAGTCGAATAACGCTCCATAGAGGCACTTGGCAATAGCATCGCGCGCAGCGACCGCTTCCGATAAGCGATGATTCATCACTACTGTTTCGCCCGGAGCCTAAATGTCAATAGATTTTTATCGTAACACAAAGTAGTCTAGGTATAAATAACAGTTGCAAAAATAAAAGCCATTTTCCTTGAATAGACAAGCTGGGAACTTGGAAAAACTTAATCATAGGTTCGGTTCTTCCTGTCGACCTTCGATGACTAGGAACAGCCTACTGCAGTATTATGTTTATGTTAACGAAAAAACAGCATTGTGTTCGTCTGATACAGATACCTTCGCTCGTTTCGTAACAAGAGCGTCATGAAGGGTTTCCACTCGGACTCCTAGTAGATTCGAAATTATTACCAGAGTGTCCCGGTTTAGGACGCACACTGATTCATCACTGTGGTATCCGGACCTGCGATTCGGTAACGAGTATGCCGTTAGTGAGCCTCTTATGTTGTATACAATGTATGCTATCACCAAACCGCGAACTGGAAATTTCACTACGACTATCCATTAGTGATAAACACAAAATGGTGAAAAATGTAACGTCAGTTTTATAGAGCTGTCAACATGCGGCAGCGATCAATACCATTTCACAAGATACGTGATGCAGGCAAACTTGTCTTCTGTTATCAGCAAAAAATGCCCTATTTGAAATGTCATTGCCCACCTTCGACTAAAGTCCAGGTTTCCAAGGTGCAGCACAGCGCTTAGCACTCGAGTTGACTTGCTCATTTTGTCTCGGCTAAAGCCGACCATTTCCATGGATTGCATGAGACGCGCATACTCAAACTGTTCGTTATCTCCGCTTGCACCGGATACGCTTCCAGGAGAACCTGCAGCACTGCCACCGAGGTATCGATATCGGGAAGGATCCGAAAGACGCAGTTCCGCTTTTTCTTCCGCCGAAGCACCTAAAATCATCGAAGATAGTTACTACGAAGCATTCATCTTTACGAATAAAGCACCTTTTTGTGCTGCAAAGTATCGATAGGTGCGAACCTAAAGCTAAATGTAATGTATATGTGCTTTTTATCGAGGTTTACATAACAAAAAAAAACTTGACCACATACGGTTCAAGCGCTTACCAAGGAGCAGATAGTAGAAGATGTGGTAATTTCGCTCCTTGTCGCCCTGTGAAATGATACGAGACTTTTCCAGGAGATATTTTTGCACGACTGCTCCGTGCACCATTCCATTTTCTCGATAGTTTACTTGAATAAACTTCCCGAATCGAGACGAATTATCATTATGCTTCGTTTTAGCGTTGCCGAACGCTTCAAGCACTGGTCCTGCAGACAGGATCGTCTGCTCTACCCCACGTCCATATGAGCCCTAACACAGAAAAGAGGATAGAGTAGAATGCGAAAGTTATGCTTGCAGGCGGCGTAGGCTATGCAGTGTAACTAAATAAATGTGCCCATTGTTTTACGGATCATGACTTGCTGATCGTTCCTTTTGAAACCTCCTGAATGTATGTATAATATCACATAGTGCAATAGTTCAATTGCAATTATAAGTGGAGCAGAATTGTAGAAAATTTACTCGACAACAGTATTGTGTCTCACGAAATTTCAGGCAGGTTCGGTCGCCATAACTTACACTGAATCGGATAGAAAATAAGTTGAACACAAGTTGATCGTAGTAAACGTTCCAAAAGCCGAGAAAGAGTGCTGGGAACTTGCGAAACGTATTAAAAATTTATAACATAATTAAGTCATCGAGCCTGGCACCAAATTTCGAAGCACCGAATTTTAAGATTTTATAAATCGCTAGTAGTTACATTCCGGCCATGCTACATGCTACCTATGGGAATAAAAGGGATCGAAAAGAAAAATTTGGGGAAGATATCTGAGATAATTTGAACGAGTTGTACAGCATTTGGAGAAGATTGTTGGAAGCGACGAAACTATGTCTAAGTTAAATAGTACAAGTATTTATTGCACAACAACACACCTACTCGACAGATTCATATGTTACGTAGGAACATCATGTAAGTTTCAAGCCAAAGAACAATTCAACCATTTTACTTGAGTCAAGTTGACGAGTTCAATCTCCGGTAAAGGGGAATATCCGCATACTGTCATCGTAATGCAGAAGCACCTCGTAATGATAAACAGGGCTAAAGGGCAAAGAAGAAATTAGAGAAGCCCGCACAAAGACCTCTGTGTTACGAGTTCTACGTCCGGTGTCCTCCTTAGGCATTCCATCATATAAGCAATTGCCTGGTTCCCAGCCATTACGAAACGAACCGTATGTAGGTTTCCCTTTCCTAAACCTGAAGCTAATGAACTTTTTTTACCTCAAAAATATGGTCTTCGCCAGAAAGTTGACGACACTGAAGCATTATAAAGCCTTTAATTACGCAATAATGCGCCACAACAGAAACCCAATATTTGCTAAAGTTTCTGCTTCATTAGGTTTCCGTGGCCAGCAACGTATTGACCAGAACGGTAGTAATTTTGAAAACCTGCGGTAGGTGCGATATTTTCTAGATTTTTGCAAAAAAATCTAGATTTTTTGGCAGTAGGTATTCCTCATATGTGAATAGCAAGTAATGCTACAATAATCCAAAAGTTATTGTTATAACTTTTAAGTTATGCTGTTAAGACATAGCTTTTTCGGGCGCCCTCTGAACGTACTATGGTTTACATACCCTCAGCTGCAGTATACAGTCATTAAAACGCATCTTTTAGATTGTTCTTAAATGAACCCAACCTCGTTGTTGTCACAGGTGCTTACATCTTGCCTTCATAAATTATGTACATACGGTAGACTATATGGCATCGCAATAGATGTCTAGCTATTTGCTAAAGATAGTCCTATCGTATAAGATTTCTGTGATGTATGGTTGTCGTACCTTTTGTGAAAGCGAGGTCAGATGATGTAGTAAAAAATTAGTTGACTCTGTTTTTCCGCTACCGCTCTCACCCGATATGACAATGCACTGATTTCTGCAACAAAATATCATCAGTTACTTTTAAATTATCGCTGTTAGCTTTTATATACATGATATAGATAAATGAAAAAAAAAAAATTAAAAAAAGACACACCATTCTCTGCAATTAGTGAAACCTTTCTGATGCACTCGGCCGAAATCAGGACAACGTACCTTCGTTCATGGAGCATGGTATGATACGCTGCGTCCGCGATTGCAAATATGTGCGGGGGTAGGTCTCCCAGCCGCCGATTCTGATATAAACCGACATATTTAGGATTGTAGACAGGATAATATTTGAACGGATTCACCGCAATCAGGATCGAGCCCACGTAAGTGTATATATGTCCTTGTATAATTGCAACGACACAGTATCACAGAATTATAAATCATTATTAGTCGACAACTAAGCACTTACTGATTTTGCTAAAGCTTTCCATGGTGGGACACGTACTTTCATTATAGTAATGTATTAAAGTTCTGCCGTTTCAATAATATATAAATATATAACGTTCTCATAACCAACCTTTTAGGAATCTTGCTTTAAGATTATCGAGCAGTGTTTGTTCTGTCAGATCTGGAAGCTGGCACAGATCGGCATACTCCTAAAACACCGGAAACGCAGACAATAATCGTATTAGCGTAGGTCTATATGGTACCAAACATGGTAACAATACAAATTCGTCACCGACTTGTAATGTTCTTACAGATTATCAGCACAGGGTTGTTAAATACATCAAAAAAATGATGAAAAACCCAGGACGCTCATGCTTTATTACATACTTTTCGTATCTAAGGGATCAATCTTCAAAAAACACAAAGTAACAGATAGTCTTGTATCCTCTGTGTAAGTATTTTTTCCCCTACGTTGCAAGCCTAAAGGAAGAAAAGAGAAATAAAAAGCAACAGGCTGCTAGCCACTTAATAGAATACCTTATCGGACGGTTGACATAGAAATCGGAGAAAATAGTCCCGGATCAGCTGCGTATCTGTCGGTTCAGTCGGTTTCCAAGAAAGACTCACCAAACGGTTCGATCCTGTATTATGCGCCAGTAGACGATACAAATAATACCAACATGTTGAAATAAAACTTAGTATCAATCGATAAATGATGTTTTAACTCTACCTATAATGGTTATAGAAATATGTATGTGAAAATTACTAGGGAGAGGCCGCGTCCTAGAACTATGGCAGTTTTGTGAAGCTGAGTTCAATTCATATAGATATATATATATACATATGGTGAGCTTTGTTTGAGTCACAATTAACACATAAACATTGAATACTTATGTGTGTTCCTCTGATAGAACTTCTCTGTACGAACGGCGTACTAAATATCTATCAGGTGCTAAACTTCCAACTGGATTGGAAAAAGAGCTTGTTTCAAATTCTATAGAAGTATTATTTCTAACACAATGAATTAAAAAATGACGTCAATAAAGTGGAGCATTTTTTTTTACCAATTTTTTCTTTGAGTACAAATCGATACCGCGGTCCATCAAATGAATGTGGCCCTTGTGGCCATAGAAGCTGAAGAGCTACGGGGCATTCTGCAGGCGACAAACGGCGTTCTTTGCACTCCTGACCCGAAGCGTTAGTAACCACCTGTCAATAAAATAATTAATAACAAATTAGCAACAGGCAACCATTGTACTGACACAGTTTGATTTAATTTGGCATTATAAAAAAAAAACACTTTATAGCGTTGACAACAGCTTAAAACAGGCCCAAAGGGCAGGATGCATTTAAAGCAATTTAAGTTCGTGGTACAGTAAATGTTGATTTTTTGTGTTGTACAACTACACCGTTGGGCTTACCTCCGCAAGCTCAAGATCATTCCACTGCTGGGCAGTGAGCCCCAGTTTATTGGAGATACACTGAAGTATGTCTGCCGAGGTTGTCTGTTTTGATGCTTCGATAGACAGTGCTTCGTACAGCGGGCTGAACCCACCTACATGCACCTAGTAAAAAAGATAGAGACAATTAGAAAATAAGAATGCACTAGTCATGGGATTATTCAACGATTTATAAATTAGCTGAGTACTCGCATTATCGATACCTCGAAAGCTGTTTTCCCTGGCAGCATCCTGTGTCTACTATTAATTGGGCGATTTCTGCGTTATTTGGGGTGAGTTTCTTACTCGACGTGCTTCGACCAGAGGATATTGTAAATCGTTCCAGTTTGCTAAGGCCTATTCTTCTGCACACATTGATTTATGGCCAGAATTTAGCGACAAAAAGTAACCAAGCTCAAGGAAGGCCTTATCGCGAAGGAGCCAGTTTCAAATAAGGTGGAAAGAAAGGCGAAAAACGGCCTTTTACTTGCCATAGGTATTTTAAAATTGCCTCTACGGAGTCTGCAAAGAGCGATATGCGACATGGAAAATCACGCTATCTTTTTGCAATGGTATAAAGAGATCGTATCCTTCCCCACTGGGTCGCGCAACGGTCAAAGAGAAAGGCTTCTATTCGCAACGAATCAACAAACAAGGCACGTTTTGTTTGATTATGACTCACTAACGTACACACAGACCACCAAGTGGCAAAATGAGTCAGTGGCCGTTCCCTTGGTCTTTCGTGCTTCTGAAATGTAGCGAAACCGCAGTATAAAGCAAGAGAAATCTCTTTCTACCTGAATTGCTCCTGTGCTCAGTGGAAAGATAACGTATTAGAGTCAGTAGAAAAGTAAGCAAGGTGCAATAGAATTATTATGTCTGCTTAATGTTTCTTCAAAAAGGACTGTCCCAAGATCAATTTCAGTATAAATTAAAAGGGCTTTAGCCGACAATAACCTCAAACAAATGCATAACTATGACAGCCGAAAACCTACCTGAAGCACATATCTGGGTTTAGACATTCTGGATGCTCGAGGTCGACGAGAGCCATCTCGAGGATCCTAGAAACAGATATTAGAGAAAAGGCGTTCAGAGAACTGCACTCTACACAATACCCCGTTTTTAATTTTGTTTATTGAAAGAAGCATCATTATATTTTAATTTGAATATATACTGCAACAAAACTATTATTAAGTGTTGAGTGTTTAGATCGCAAAGTCTTAAACCTGTGATGTGACAGAGGTAACAGAGTGTTCCGTGCTGCATTATGCTGCACAGCTAAAGATATAGACGCACGGGCGGAGCCAGTGAGGAACTGCCAACTTGTTCGTGGTTGGTGAGGACGCTGCAGGCCAAAAAGTTGGCCTGCAGCGTCCTCACCAACCAAGTAATTTGTAAAATGTATACAGAGCACGCCGCTGGAAAGCCAAATCATAGCATTCAATCACCTTCCTAATGCTCCTTCATAAAGCATAAGAAAGTGAATTGGAAATACAAATGTGCCTTTGAACAGCGACCCTAAAGGATGAAGCGATAAATATATCCACCCAGCAGGAAATCACCCGTGTAATGACTCCGTCGACAAGGGCGATGTTGGTTATGGGCGACGGCACCATCGTGCAGCCACAGAAGTGGACGCAAATAGTGTGATGGACGAAGTACCTCAAGATTTTAATTGACTTGCTAGCTGTCTTCGTACAGAGAGGTTATCATGAATGCATAAGGATCGAGAAAAGGGATTCCCAGCAACAGTTGAGTCGCTTGTTACGAAATTGATCGCTTTGCATCTTGAATCCGCTGCATGTCCTACCTATCCTTTCGTCCGAATTAATTTATGAGGCCGCTAATGTGGTAACTGCCAAGGAGGCAGTTCAGGAGAATACGCTTTTCACTACTGTGCGTCTCTTGATCACACAGCATCCAGTTGTGAGAATGACTGAGACAGTTAATGAAAATAGCGTATAACATCTCTAGGCGTATCGAATATTTTTTGGGCTGACGGTCGAGAAGACTCAGAAAGGAAGAGTGCAATCGAATCATGGTGTCGGTGACCGACCACGATGAGGCTCGACAGTACAGGCTGCCGGCCTGAGTGCAAAAACTCGAAATGTCTGTGAGTTTCATAAGGAATTTACCAGGGGATCGTCGCTGCTCTAGAATTTAAATTAACACCCTCATTATCCGAATCGATTTTACGACGTACTTATCACCTACGATGAAATTACCAAAGCTCTTTTCCTTGAAATTCGATTTACCGAGATTTTAGTCCGTCCACTGCCTGGCTCAGAAGGGAAACGGCCTTGGTCTCCCCACAGGTGGAGTCTCAGTGTTTTAAATTAAAAATTTTAGATAGAGTTGGGAAGCTAACCTCACGCCTTGTGTTAACTTCATTTTCCTCTGTGGCCCAAGTATACGGCTTGCTACGTGTGTTCAAGTGACAAAGAGTGCATACTGACTGCCACAGAAAAGCTTGTCGGCGGTTTGCAGACCGTGGCTAACCATTTTTCTGGCGCTCCTATTATCGTGGCAAGAATTTTAAATGCGCGCCTGGACCAGCCTACCCTGAATCGTACGTCAGAGCTTCAATACACATTTATGCAGCACCATTGCGAGGTAGTCAGCCATAGCGTGGTACCAACTTTTGTCAATCTTGCAGGAAGCTTCGTCATAGATATTTTTGCAATGATCGCAAGCAGGGATATAATCAAATTCGTTGGAGAAAGGTAGTCTTTCTGTAGAGAAAAATAAGTTCAAAACACATTTCTGTCGAATTAGACTTCTCAAATCCGTTTCCGAGTATTGTTCACCAGAGGAAGCAAATCTCTACCGAGGAATGCTCTTGGGACGCACTCGTTCGGTTTCGTTAGTGTTAAACTGAATGGGTGTTGAGGTCTATAGGCGTCACTTCATCCACATCCTGCAATTTATGATTTGTTTACTCCACTGCCTGTATATCACCAAAAGCAAGAAAGACCTGGAACAGCAAGAAGAGACCGAATGTCAGTCATACAAATGGCTTAATTCCTGCAGATCTACATCGTATCCCATTGGTTGGTCAGTACTCGTCGAACTCATTGCCAGCACGTGTTTGTCTAAAAACACCGCATTCTCACTTCTCAGAGCAGCATGAGATGAACAGACCACAGGCAAATGCGAATTGCTGGATCCGAAATTCTCTGTCCTGTAAGTAATTCGGGCACTCGGAAGCTCGAAAATGACATTTAAATCGGACATAATTTGAAATAAACGCCTCAAGTCCGTTTTAGGGCTGATGTCATGATGGGTAACTTTGTTTAACAAATGTCTTCGTTCCGGACAGTTTCTTCCTTAACGGCAGGATACAATGCTTCTCGTTATTTCCAAAAGGACCCAAACCAGCCGCCAGTAAACTTCTCTCCTGTCTAAACTCCTCTCAGGGCAAGAAGGCTAGACGTGTTTTTGAGATATAAAATGCAATATTTTAGAAGCAACACGGACTCAGAAGAGATAAGTCGACCAATCCGGCACGCAAGATGTTACTTGCCGATATCAAGCAAACTTAAGGTAGTCCTCAGCTGAATACCTACGCCGTGTTTATGGATTTCGAAATACTTTTCGAGTCCGCCTCAAGAAATGTAGCCTTAAGCACTCCAACCGATGTCGGCGCTCTCGCGAACGTGCTTAACAGCGTGAAAATCGGCGATGGGTTCCACCGGTTGCCGGCTTTCACCCAGATTACACATGTGTATAGCCCAGAGTAGCTCAGAGTGATAACTTAAGCTTTCTCAGCCCTATTGAAAGGTTTACCGAACAAGAGACATGAGCCCAGAAATATACTGTCGGCTTTTCTCTACGCAGACAACTTAGTTATTTACATGAGAAGTCGTTTTCATATTCTAGATAGGTTGCATTCTGTGGTGTACGAATTTGTGTACCTATCAGCCCACCCAAAACGGAAGCAATTAAATTCAAAAGAGCGGACAAAATTGCGGCTATAGATGGGCGATCGCCAATATATGCTACCTACCTAGGGCCGATGTTCTCGCTTACAAAAAGACACAAAAAAAGCTTTGCTAGTTTCATCTTAATCCCCAACGGCTGTTCCACTTGACTGCTCTGCATCTTTCAGTCCTCAAAGCTGCGCTGGTCGCCGCATCCGGGGGTGAATATAATCTTTTACAACCTCACTGTGCAAATTTTCGATCAACTCAACCTCGTTCCTCTTAGAATTGCGCCGAACAACCTGCAACAGACCTTTCTATTTATCGTCAGCGACGCCACTGTTTCCCAAGGACCTCCGCCGTCGTTTTAATCTATCATTAACTTCTACATAGCAAAGAGCCTGGGAAAATGCGACCAAACTTCGATTTCGAATTCGGGCGAGATTTGGTAAAGTTTGATTGGCTTAGCAGATATGTAATAGCCCATTATGCAATGCACGGTTTCCATTATCACTCATGCAAAGTACAGGAGTCCCATGAACCTGGTGAGTGTTTTGTCCGAGCTAGATATAGCCATTTTTGTGATACCTAACATGCCCTTTATACGTATTATAGCGTATTATACAAAGTTGCTGTGACTGTACCTATGCCTTTGAGTGCCAATTAATAAAGAAAAATAAGTGGATTTGATCGACTAAGTACTATGTATTGAGAGGCAATGGGTCAATTTTACTTAATGTATTAATAATAGTAAAAAATTTAAATAGCTTCTCCTGATACTTATTATTTTTAAGCTGCAGTAGATTCGGTTGCATCCTCAAGGAACTTAGAGAACAGACCGCTTCGCTTTTGTTGATTTTTCAGCGTCTTTTAGACGCATACATAAATACCATAAATAAAAAAAATACCATAAATGTGGTAAAGTTTGATGCGCACTTAATTCTTGTTCAACCTAATATAGAAAAAAGGCTAGGCATCTAGCCCAGCCAAGTATTTCTTCGCCTATTCGAACGCTTGTGGGCTATAAATTAGTAATAAGGTAATTTTTTTCCACTGCGGTTTTGCCTGTTATCGAGTGACATTTTCCAAAGCCAATTCAAAGAAAATCGTTATATTCAATTTCTACTAAAACCATTATGTTGAATCACATTGGATTTTGGAGTTAAGGGTTTATACGGATTACTGTATTTTGAGCTTCCTTGTCGCTGTTATTTACCTGTTGCCACATTTAACTGCAGCGCACGAATTAGATTAAACGGTATAGCTGACAGATTTCTCATATCTTAAATAATTACGATTATAGATTCATTACTAATCATAGATCTTTTATAACTGAATCTAGACATATATTCACGGCAGGTATATAGACTTCGGTAGGGCCAAGTTGGATATGGGAAGCGATGCGCCCATTTCTTCAACAAAATGGAACTCATTTTTACATACACAACATCTGAGCTATTTAAAGTTCAGCTGCGTACCTTACAGCAAAGTTTCATGAAAACCTACGACAGGCAAATTATAATTTTAATCTTAGTTAACTTAGTGCTAAATTCATATTATACATTATCCCTCTAAGCAAGATGATAGCTTTTTAAAAACACTACACAGACATTTTCTACGGCTTTATTGAATGGTTGCTTTATTCATGGCTCATAAAACCCCACGAAATTCACTCTTGTCGGACGTCATCTATCTCAATGATTCTATGAAAAAGACGTTACCAGTTATTAGTGGCCTGTTAGGTCAAATTGCTCGAACCAAAAAAATAGATTTTACGCTCAAAAACTGGATCAAGAAATTTGGTTCACGAAGCTGCGGACGATAGGAAATTTCAGGCATAAACAAACAATTAAAGAGTCTCGCAATATCTGCAAAGCTATCATCGCTAACCATCTTCACATATAGTTTTTTTTCGACGTATACGCTCGCTTCACAAATTATCTTTGTATGGATGTCTCAATGGAGAAAATATTTATCGTAAGTGGCGAGATCGCAATGACAATGGCTTCAAATGATGCACCTGATACACGTATGAGTAAACCCTCCTCTGCGAAAGCCTTATCGTGATTTCAGTTCAGTGAACAAAAGGCTTGTCTCTCCAACCGCTGCAAATATTATGAGGAGATATAAAAAAATAAATC